AATCTAAAGAGGGGACTTTAAAGGCCTCTGGGGCAGAGCCCCAAGGGAATTTACCTTGTTTCTCTTTTGATGGCTCATCTACAGACTAAGACCTTTCTTTGTTTCTTTAGAGACCCCTACCAAGTTTCTACGCCCAGCCGTTCTCTGAAATTAGCAGTGACAAAACCCCGTTTTTCCTCCATAAGAATAACATGGGATGGGAATTTAAAGGCCACTGGGGCAGAGCCCCAAGGGAATTTACCACATTTCTCTTTTGATGGCTCATCTACAGACCAAGACCTTTCTTTAGAGACCCCTACCGAGTTTCTACGCCCAGCCGTTCTCTCAAATTAGCTGTCACAAAGAAAAACAGTTTCAAATTAATATATAGATTTTTAAATTGTTTGTTGATACTGAACAATATTTACTTATCGTAGTTGTCAGCTGACATCTCGTTCATTATCGGATCAAAAATAGAATATCGATGTATCGGAAAGAAATCATCGATAATAATGAATGTTCCCTTTAACAGGAAAGTACCATTTTACGCAATGCGGCCAAGGCCAAAATTAGTACAGCAGCTACTATGGTTGTACCAACTATTATATTAGTTTTCTGAATCTAACCATTTGAATCCCCAATTAAATGTATGTAAATATTAAAACATATACATATTTTAAATAGCGTATCCTGGAAGATGTTATTACGGAATATGTACGTTTTCATTTTACGGAAAAGGCGGATACACTTAACAATCACACGTCCTTTCCACAAGAAACAGTGTGTCAAGAGTGCTTCCTGGCTCAAAAATTCAATACATTTCCTTTCTCAGTCAGAGGTGCATAACTGCATTCCTTTGAACACAGTCAGCATCCTGCCTGGTTTGTCCACCCTTAGCGGAAGCCACCCTCACGGTCACGTGTAATCTCTCTCTCTTCCATCCCCCTCTCGCGCCAACCCCCAACCGTTGGCAAAACTCCGCAGTATGAGGAATTCGCGGATGGGGACCCTTTCTACCTGATACCCGTTGGCAAAACTCCTACACTCATCTTAAAACTGCGTTATAACAAACTATTTTTGAGCTTAGCGGAATCTTACTGCCCCTTATGAAACTAGCCCATATTGAATTAATTGCTAGTTTTGTCATAATATTCTTTTGATGGAAATATAAGTTCCACGACAAAGATGGAGTAAAATCGACCCCTAGATATTTATAGCTGTTTACTACCTCTATTGTTTTGCCTTTGTACCACCATTGACAATTTGTTCCAAGCCTCCCTCCTTTCCTAAATACCATGACTTTTGATTTATTTAAATTGAGGTTGAGGTTCCATATTTCACAGTAATTTTCTAGCCTATTTATCATGTGCTGCAGACCTGTAGCTGTCGGAGATATAATCACTATATCGTCTGCATACATCAGCATATTGACCTCTGACCACCAAAGTTGCACCCACCTTCTAACACTTCTGGCAGATCATTAATGAATAATGAGAAATTAATAGGGCTGATTAGACATCCCTGTCTTAAGCCCATGGAGGTGTTAAAGCTGTTGGTTATTCCTCCAGGAACCCATATTGACGCCGTGGTTCCCGAGTAATAGTTCTTCAATATAGTTAGTAATTTTGTTGATAAGCCACGATAATTTGAACATAAGGGCATCTCTGTCTTACAAATAGTATGGTGTGCAAATATATTTGTCTCATTCAAAAATTATACTTCAAAAATCTTGTTAAATAATTAAGTGAGATAATAATGTAAGAATAGTATGCTGTCTTTAAACCTTGTCTTAATTAAAAGATTGATTAGTTTAAATTTAAAAACAATCTTGTTGACGTTTTAGTGAAATAAAAAAGTACGAATAGAACGCTGTCGAAATACCCGTTTGCTATTAAAAATAGATTTATAAATTTTAGGAAATCTAGTTAAAAGTTTAAGTGAAATAAAAAAGTACGAATAGTATTTGTATATTAATATCCTTGTACTATGCAAAAATATATTTCAAATTGTTTTTAGATAATCAAGTGAAAGTATGGATAAAATGCTGTGTATGTATCCTTGTCCTTAATAAATAAAAATTTCAAATTATTATACAGCATAGCCTACTCTAACATTTAAAAATGCTTTTATCTATATCTTTAAGTTGAAATTATTTGTTGGTTTATTGCAGCCTCTACATTCTATATTGATGATTTGTTTCTTTTTGCAAACACAATACTTGATCATTTCCCCCATACATGATATTTATTTCTTCTTTTTGTACATTTGGATCATTATTTTGGGGCTTAGTGTTTAGTTTTTCTTCATTATAGATGAACGAATCGGGTTTTTGGCTTCTGGTTACATAAAAATGAAAAGAGTAAATCGGTTCCGGGTCTAGGACTTACCGTGCGACCTACGGTAATAACTTCATACCTATATTGGGGAGGACTACACATAAATCATAACCATAACTAATAATCATAAATTTCGGAGTTCCCAAACTAAATTTAACCTTTTGCACTAAAACGTAAGGATTGAGCATTGAGCACATGGCGTTCCAATAACTTTCCTCCTAGAAAACTATTATATCAATACAGTAGGCCTTAAAAAACGACGTGTTCGCAAGAACGAAAAGACGATGACGACGTCCGGCTGAAGATGATCCCGTGAGGATAAAAACCGGTCGCCTTTCAAGGTCAAAAGGATCACTTGACAGCAGGTAATTTCACCAGTACACGTATTGATCAGTGATTCGGAGGCTTAACTCAAACAAAATCCAATTATAAGAGTTGTTGACAAGCTAATGGGAGAAATATGTGTCATATTTGCTGATACCGTTTGTTTTTTAATATGTACATAATAAAGAGTGTTTATAGAACACATTCTTTATAATGTAACCTGTCACTTCAACTTATCTGTTATCAATTTTATCTTTGCAAACGTTTTTTGCTCTAAATTATTTAATGATGACATTTTCTACAGACAGTAAAGATAGTGTCTGTCAATGGAAAAAAGGAGAGTATTTTCCTCCTATTGACAATTTGTTAGAGTAGTTCAATTGTTCTAATTATATATAGTCATGCAATTAATGCTGTATAAACTTCTATCTAGACTTGCACTTCTAGAGATGAGTCGGTGAAGATAGAATCGGTGTTTCAGATGCGTTGTAGAAGTCCGTCTTCGAGGCCAACTCAAACTAGGCTACTTGACATAATTCTAGGAAATACATCGTTTATTAATTAATTTAGTTTGAGAAAGGATTCCGACGCATATACTTGCAATTATCTGCTTCACGAAGGTAAGACGCAATGATTTGTATCATTGACTATATACTATATGGTATATTTAATGTTTGTATCCATCCTCAATAAACAATAGTTGAAGGATGATGTAAATGTTTTAGGTCTTACATGCATAAGAGGTGATACAATTCTTATTTTCTCAAACCAATCGTGAATTGAACTTTTTCAAATATTGTCACCAACATGTAATTTATGTACTGTCTCTAAAATGTAATTGAAGAACCATTTTGATAAACTGTATCGATGAGGGTGAAAGTGTTATAACACAAAACGACTGGTATATGTAGGCATTGAGTAGGTTACAAAAAAAACAAACATATTTTGCGAAACATAAATAATAATTGTACAAAATTGCAGTTTTACAAGCAGGATGACTTCTGTATTTGAAGAATTCTCGTACGTAGAGTGATTCGGCAGCGTTTTCTGAAAATGATATGTCTTAGCCAATTTTCCTACACGGATATATATGTAATATTTTAGCCATCGGCAACAGGAAATATCTTTTACCGTGATCATTTTCTACCTTGCGTTTTAGGATCACATATGCATACGTAAATTGGTCGGCAAAAATTAATACAACTACGTATATTTTAAGATGTATTAAAACTGTGGACGTTATAGAAGTATCTATTCCAGAAACTTGTATTCATTTAAATGTTTTAATTTCATTTGCGCGCGAAGTGAAATTTCAAGGCATTTATATTTATTTTGATATGTAAGTTTAATGTTTTTTAAGAAAATCTTAGTTATAACTTAAATTTTCCGTTTATTTAATTTTTTTTATATACTCTAAAAGCCATTGACGGTAAATATTTTGTTCATTCGGCAAAGGTATTGCATTTCGATTAACATAGATTGTATAAACACTATAAACCCTAGAGGAGATCGTTGGATTCTTTTTAATATGTATAACAGACATTGTAGTATTGTGAGAGCATCTCATAAGTTATCCATACGTATACAATTAATTATTTCCAAAAGAGTGTCTTTGATTATCTTATGTATCCCTCTCTAAATTGTATTACAGCCTAAACACTCTAATTTTGTGTGGCTTATTTATTTTATCGTCCACGTTTTTTAGTTGTATGAATTTCTCCCATTCATCATAGGTGTTAAAGGTCGGCTGCTTTCTGTAATTTTAATTGTGTCTTTTTCTTAGTGTTACAGTCATATTTAAACAAAAATTCATATCGTACACAAAACTCAAAACATAATTAAAGATATTTTAGACTATTTAGTTGATGCAATTTATATCTGATGATTTTTATGAATATCTTTGATCGTGTGATTAAAATTACAAACATAAAAACGTAAAAATCCGCATGAAGAATAAATAATCACAGAGAGAAGTAACCACCTAATAATTAGAATTTTCTATAATTTGAGCACTTATTGAATCAAAATTTAAACTATAAAAGAACCGTTTTGAAACACAAAAACCTACTATGCGGCTATGACTAACTGTGTTTTCTAAATTTACAATTCCAGCTTGTTGAATTAATGGGTATTGAATTATTGTGTTGAAAAGTTGAATTAAGTTGAAAAGGTAATATTTGTAATGTATTCAACATTTAACTGTGTGTATAGGTAAAGTTAAATTTTACAATGCTTGCTAATGGTAAACTGACGATATTCAGCTGAAATATTAAAACAAATGACTTAATAATGTTTCGTACACTGAACATCTTTTATAATTCCAGAGTTTTTTTTCAACGATATAATGTTAAATTGTCTTACTTTCTGACTGCGGCCGGTTGGTGTCGACGTCGCCGGCGGGGAAGCCGTTGGACATAGACGACGGCGGAGGTGGCGGGTGGATGGTGGTAGCTGCCGATACCACACTACCAGTAGCCACTCGACATCACTACACCACTACTGACACAGTAACTCATCGATCATCGAGTTAAAACAATGCGCGATTCAATCAGAACTTCGATCGCCATTACCACACAGTCCTGGTGGACACTCGAGGCCCGAGGCCTATACTTCACCTGCAGCCCGCACGCTGACAATCACACGTAGGCCTATAACGTCAACGTCTGCCTCGAGTATGTAACACATTCAATGTTGTGTAAATAAATGAAATATATACACTTAAGTGTTTTCTTTAGACAGCGGCGCGTTTTAAGCTAGTCAGATGGGTGGCTATAATATACATGTACGCCTACTAAGTAATCATGACCTCAGAATGGAGTGAATGCATGAATGCATGATTTATTCCATTAAATCTGCTACATGGTACAAATGTATACAATTTTTAAAATAAATTTTAAGTTTCACAAACATAAAAAAGTAATTAAGGAAACAGAAAGAAAAAATCAACAAAGTTGTGAACTTAATGTTGAATGGTTTTAAAAAACCAATAAAACGAACATAATACAAATACACTTGATGATTTTGTTGCTAGTTATAATTTGTAATTGGTCTGCAGAATCAGCAGACATAGACAAACTCTGCCTGTGCGTCTGTTGGGTTGCTATAGTCTTTTAATTTACTTAAATTTATTAATATGAAAATTTAAACGGTGAATGAATCAAAAACTAAAACAATGATTAGTTTGCATTTTATTTGAGGATGAATGATATGTAATTGACATGAAAATAATGGTAGATGTATAACGATCATTTCTGTGAGTTGCATTGCGTAGCTTAACTGACTATAAGACTACAAAAATCATTAGTTTTTAGCATAACTTCAATTAACAGCGGGTTACATTTTGAAACCAACAACTAGCTTTCACATTCATCCCAGGATCGAACCAGCGATCTTCTGATTTTAAAACGCGCTATGCAACTATTCAGTTACCTAGACGTTCCAGTGTGGATCAAAGTACGATTAGCAGAATGTTAAGAGTATTTGTGGCGATATTTCTGGAACTTGAGGTAGGGGAAAACAAAACCGTCAAACGTTTACAATTTTCAACTAAAACATACTTATTGAACATAACAATTTACTGTATAGTTGCGGTCTGAGCGCCGATGAGGAAGGACCTCTTATCTCGTAGTTGGTAGTTCCAACCTTATGTTAACGCGTGCCTAGTCCTGCTCAGTGCTTACAATACCGTCTGTTTTAGGTTATGTAAGACTTTGCAACACATCTTAATTATTTAATTATTTATCTTCGTTACCATCTGTGAGTCAGCATGAGTGTCAAATGCGGAAATTGCGACGTCTTATGTTCGTCCGGTGATACTACCGCCAAGTGTACCGCGTGCAAGTCGACGTTCCACGCCACGTGTGTGCGGGGTTTTACTATGTTTCTCAGTGCCCTACATGACTTGAAAACTGAAATTAATTCCAACACAGACGAAAGGGTATCAGTTCTTCAACAACAGTTGTCTGAGTTTAAAATGCAGTTAAACATAGTCCGGCGTACAGACGCCGTGGAGACGTCTCAACAGCATCTGGAAGAGCGATGTACCAAGTTTGAATAGGATAACGTGCGGATTCGCGACGAGCTCCAGACGAATCGCATGCAACTCGCTGACATCGAGCAGTACAGCCGTATCAACAGCCTAGAGATCACCGGCGTACCTGTAACTGCGGAGGAAGACATTTACACCTGTCTAGAGATGCTAGCCAATGTCATCGGCGTTGCATACAGGTGGGCGGACATCTCCATTGCTCATCGGCTTCGTTTGTTCTCGGATAAACTCGACCACCCTCCCATCATCGTGCAATTCACCTCGAGAACAGCGAAGGACGCCTGGCTGTCAGCGGTGAGGAACAAGAAGACCATCGAGACCAGGAAGATCGCCGCAACCCTTCGTCCAGGGAAGGTGTACGTCAATGAGCATCTGACACCTCTCAACAAAACCATCCTGGGGCGGGCCAGACGACTGAAAAAAGCAGGGAAGCTGCACTACGGAATTAATTTTTATTTTAATGTTAATCTAGATATCATAGTCTCATCAGAGTGTTGGTTGAACGGAAATTTTCAGAAGAAGATTATGCCAACTCCATATTATATTATACAGACTGTCCCAAAAGTCCCGGACCGGTTTAATATTTCCTAAACGACAACAGATAAATCAATAAAATTTTGCACATTAACACCACACTAAAAAATCTACTTTTTTAAGGAACTATCAGTTTTCTGTCATATCATGGGGACGTCCCACGAGGAGTCAGAAGGAAATCTTAAATAGGAGCATAGGTCAATATGCACATCAGTTTAAAGGGCTTAGCTAGCAGAGTTCAATGCCGGAAACCGCGCCTCGAAAGGATCACCCGTTACAAAATGGCGGCCGTTCAAAGATTTCTTGAACCTGCCATTTTGAATCTTTGAACGACTGCCATTTTTTACTCAGGCGTTCTTTTGAGCTTGAATTTACGGCATTGTAATCTACTAGTGAAGACCTTTAATTTGATGTGCATATCGACCTATGCTTACACTAACAAAAATGTTCTGACTCCTAGGGCTCTGCCCCCAAATGCAAATTAAATGAATCTTTGAACCACTGTTACTCTTGACTTGGTTGTCCGTTTGAGTTTAAATTTGCAGCATTATATTCTGCTAGTAAAGACCTTTAATCTGATGTACATGTCAACCTATGCTTCTATTTAAGATTTCCTTCTGACTCCTTGCGGGACGTCCCCATGATGTGACAGAAAATTTATATTTCCATAAAAAAGTAGATTTTTAGGTGTGATGTTGATGTACCAAATCTTGTTGATTTATCTGTTGTCGTTTAGAAAATATTAAACCGGTCCGGGACTTTTGGGACAGTCTGTATATGGAGTCTATTATAATAATAGACCTATAGTAACAGCCTATAGTTATTACCAGATTTATTTTTTTACATAATCTAAATGAAATGAATCATGCTTGTGACAATGCAGGATAATCTAACTTCTAAACAAAGAGTTTGGTTGGTGGGAGTTGCCCCTGCCTTCTAAAGGTTGATTCTACATCAATGCGATCGTGGAATTAAGGTGTAGATTATCGGCAGTTTCTTAGATTGTGTAATTTACTACATCAGTTTATCCAAGGTCTTCTTTAATCCTGACAGCAACACCGCCCCGAACACTAATAGGGAAGGAACTCTCATCTTATCGTCTGCCTAGCCCTATACAGAGACCTTCTTTACAGTACGTTTTGGGTCTTCGTCTGTTTTCTACCGGTGACGTTACGCGCGTACTGCGCAGCTTCATGAAGACTAAAAGTTTGATTAGCGCTGCAAGCTACAATGAAGGCTCGTCTTCCACTTCCAGTGACATCACTCGATAAAGACGTTGGCGAATGGAGTATAGGACTTTGATAGAGCTTCTAAGGACGTTATGATTAAATAATTTTCTTATATCTGGTTTAATCGTGTCAGCAACTCTTTCTTTATCGCTATAACCAACAATACTACTCAGATTTTAAATCGTAGGTTAGAATCGTAGGCTCATGTAGGTAGGGCTAACATTACATAGTTGTATGGCATATGTATGCTCAATAGAAAACAACGGTATTTTGATTTATTCATTGAGGTATGGGAAAAGGACAATGAAGTAGATTGGCATATTATCTCGATGTTCATCATGTTAAAACAATTCAATAGTACACAAAAACTACGTCGAGCTCATAGTCAAACCAAACAATGCCTGCTTCTGGAATGTCTAGAAATTCAAATTCATGGATCAGTCGTAATTTAATTGAATGGGGTGTAAATTGTTAATTTCGTACCCAAGCAATGTTTGTATCCAATTTCAAATTAGGCTACTAAGTTAGTTTATAACACCGAAATTACAGAAACGAGAACTGTTTAATAAATATATATTGGTTTTTTTTATAGTTCCTGTTGTTTAGTAAGTATAGGCCTAATAATGTGGCCTGGTCAAGAGATATGGCGCATGCTTTCTGTCCTGCAAAATCAGGTTCAAATGTTACCAATCACCATTGATTGACAATTTCCAAAGCAATAATGCTGTAAAAATGGTTGTTTGGACAGAAGAACCCCTTAAGCTCATGGTCCATATATAAAAAATGTATAATTATCTTAGCTGGAGAAAATTATCTGTATAGTGAAGATCGCCTTCCTTAAAGAGCTATATAGTTATTGATTTGGAGTACCATAATACACATTTAAATTAGTTCTAAAAATAGTGTTGTTGTGGGGATACAACTACAACTACATGGAACACACAAGATATCATGATGACCACCACACATAGATAGACAAACATTATTGCATGGTGGGTGACTATTATTGTACCACTATTAGTATTCCATCAAGTATGATGTTGGGACATTGAAAGATACAAAATACTCCTATGTTTTACTTATGATGATTCAAAAAAGGTTGATATATCCACAGAATAAGTTTAAGAGGGGGTCGTGGCCCTAACTTTGCCTGTATAAATAAAGAATTTTCATAAATAACTTCAAAAAACTCTCTGAAATCTGAAGTGGACACTTGCAGCTAATTGATAAGTAGAATGTTTTTGTTACTAATGAATACCGACATTTAGAAATATAATTTGTTCTCGAATTAGCTATACACTAATACACTTACTTGTAAGACTCCAGGTTCAATCTGGGCATCGGTAGGCAATTATGAGTGTTATCAGAAATTAGTAGTCTTGGGGGCACCTCAAGATTTTATAAATAATCAAACCTCATATTGATGGTCTTCATGAGGAATAAGGTATGATTACAAAATACTAATCTTAAAAAGCAAATAATATAAAACATATGACCAAAACTGTATTTTTTCGCTTTTCAATCGGATTTGTCCTTAAAAGGTGCATAATGTTCAGCTTCAAAGTCTTTCAAAAATTATATTTTAAACCAACACTAAATCTAACTAGAAACAATATTTGACAAGCAAAATCATGATAATTTCAAACTACAGTTGATAATTATTCAGTTATATTTAACCCATAAAAAATCTTTCTGTAAAAGAAAGTTGCAAGATTACTAAAGAAGTAAGGACAAAAGGCTACGATTGGATCCTAGAATAGAACTTACCAATTTATTGGACATCAGGTTGAATATTTCATTTACAGTGGGTAAAAATAGGCCAGGGCGATTACTTTAAGATTTCTTGTCATTATTTAACATTAAACTTTAAACGCCCCATTACCCACTTTTCATCATAAACCACTTTCCATCCGTTCTTTCTACAACATATTTTCAATGTTTTTTCTACAAATTTTGACTTAATGGGTAATCAATTTATTTGGTAGCTTTAACAAATATCTCAATCCTGCTAACAGACAACTCTAGTGAAATATTGCTAGGAAGTGAATGTTGCATTAAACTAAATGCTTAAATGCTTATGTGACGATATATGAACAACTAACAAAGGTTTGATCATGTTTACATATTACCTTGCGGTTTATGAAGTCATGATCACACCCAAGCAACATTCAAATCTGTAAAAAATAATTATTAAGTCTTTGTTATTTTTTAAATTTTGGAAATTAGTTAAACACTTCATTGTAGGAATATAACAAAATTTATCACTGTATGAGCAAATGAATATGGTAAATAAAACACTGCTACAAATGGTATAATTTTATATTTGAACAATTAGTTAAATAAATAAATAAATATAAATTAACTAGGCCTAAAGTGACTTGAAAGAAACTTAATGTATAATCTAATTGCATTACAAACAATAATAAACAAAACAAATAAATAAATAAATAAATAAATAAGGTAATAATAAACTATTCCTGTCTTTTAAAAAGTTACACAAATTATAGTGTGGATGTAAAGTAAAAAACAATACAAAGTAAATCAAAATATAAACTTAAATGTAGACATAAAAAGTTGATTTAAGATCCAAACTCATCCATTGCATTATTTACAGATATTAAAAGATTTCTCTAAGACTACAATACTCTCATTTTTGTTTTGTACAATTCCTACTTCGATTTAGAAAAAAATTAAATATTGGAAAAATACAGATAACTGCATCAAATAATCCGTGCAGCTTGACAAAATTTATGTTTATACAATGTTAAACAAAATTAGTAATCATTGGAGTTCAAATAAAATCAAATAAAAAGTTACTTGAAATATACAGAAAAATGTGTCTCCTTTTTTTAGAATGTTGAAATTTTTCTTTTAATTTCTACTCCAAAATGATGAAAAATTGAAAAAAATTCAATACTACTGTTACTTCATAACAGGCACTACTTTCTCATGGATTTTCTTATGCCATTCATCAAGGCATTCTGATTAATTTACTAAAAAAAATTGTTTTAATTGTTTGTTGATCTTTTGTAAATAGAGAAGGTAAGGTGCAACTTAACACATTTTAAAATATGAAGATGCGTACTACAGAACATATAAACAGAGTCATCATATTAAGGATATTTTACTAATTTGTACTAAAACTGAGGGAAAATTCATGTAACCCTCTCATGAGTATGGTATGCTATTGCAAGATATAGTTTAGTTTAGTTTATCCTATTCAATAGAAGTACAGGTTCACAAGTTTTGAATCGGCTCATTTATTTGTAAATTGACATCAAGACATACTGTACTTAATTTTGTGTTGTGTAATTCCCAAATGTGATCGTCATCGTAGTGATGTAGAAAAATATACTGCAATTAGTGTTTCAGACTTTCAACTACCTGAATTCAACTCAAACTGGCAAAGGGATGCGGGTGACAGCTTCGGGGAGAGCTGGGATTGATGGAGATGTTACGCTGCCTGCACCAGAATAGCAAGTCAACATGTAGTCTAAACGAAACCCATGTCCTGTCACATTCTCATTTGTATGAAACCGCAAGATCAGTGGTCCGTTGGTTTTGTCTGGAAAAAATAAATAGGTCATACGATTATTTTCTTCCTCCCCTTCTCAAATAGATCATCACTAAAAGATGGTATAGGTGATTCGGTAGTGCAAAAGAATATTACGGGGTGCATTGCAGTTATTTTGTGTGTTTGCAGCCTGGTACCAGCAATTAATTTCATCAGTACAGTTCACTCTTGTAGTGTAACCTTGCTTTCCTGTATATGTTCCATGGATAGACCAGAGTGGTAACATCAGTGATAAGATAAGTGTAGGTGGATGGTCTTGAACCTGCAATGTCTGTCTTATCAGTTCAATACAATAGTGTGTTCAGTGTGGAAATATACTAGAACTAAAACATTACCAGGAACTATAGATTGTTAAGACAATCTTAATCTGGAACTTTCAAATATAATTTATCATATAGATATGAAATCTAATTTCTTACAAATAATGATCAACAAATATACTGTTCATTGGTTGGTTATCATATCTACCAAACAATAGTGTACACATGAAATAAGAAGATGCTGTAAAGTCTAGTGCAAACAGCCAGTTTCAATGAAAACCTTAAAATATGACACCCCTTTAAACAATTCCAACACAGTATTGGATGTGTTGGATCCACCCCTTGAAGTTGAGGGATGAGTCAGAGATTTACTTATACCTCTTTTAGCGAATTTCTTACATAGGGAATAAGCTATTACCGTTGTATTCATGATAAGACCTGGACCCGGGACCAATTTACTTTTTCATTTTGAGGTTCCTAGAGGTCAAAAACATCATCCGTTCAAATTCATATATATATATATGCGTGTGTGTGTGTGTGTGTCTGTTAGCACAATAACTCGACAAAAATTATCTGATTTTGATGAAATTTTGTATAAACCTGTAAACCTATATTTATTCGAATGAGATTGCGAACCAGCATTATTAGACTATGGAAACGGGGGTTTATGGGGGGTTTTGGTATCCCATTTTTGACCCTAAAAACATAAAATTTTGCAATTTCTTTTGAAACCATTTTTTTATCGAGTTATCGCGCTGTATATATATATATATATTAACGGAGGGTGTTTTTGGCCTCTGGGGACATCAACACGAAAAAGAAAAATGGTCCCGGGTCTAGGTCTTACCATGAGACCTACGGTAATAGCTTATTCCCTATATGGGAAATTCGATAAAAGAGGTTAACTTGGGGTCTCAAACGGCCCCCACAATGATGAAAGCTACAGAACATTTAAACTAGAGTCATCATAAATTAAAGGATACTTTACTTAATTTGTACCAAATCTGAGGGACCAAATTTAAATTTAAATTTGTCTTATAGGGTCAAGCCCATATTGATGGACACCAATGGGTCGAGGAGACATTTACTTAGTTATTCTTTCCCTTCTCTTGGGCAAAGTCTACTTATTTCCATGTAGCCAACAAATGACACTTGTAACTAAACTTACCTTCAACAGGAGAGTTTTTAGAGTAGTCAATGGTAGTAGAACCATCATTGAGTTTGTAGCCACAAAGTTTGATAGTGGATGTTGAGATATAGTCATCAGGACAGTCAAAACTTTCAGCTCCTGCCTGTCCCTCAGGTACAGTGGATGTTCCGTCTGAGGATAAATAAACCAGAAGAATGTTGCGGTATTAACCTCAATACAGGTGAGTTAGTGAGGATAGCGTTGAAGGACAAAAAACCCTTCCCCAGTGGCTATACCCGTATGGTTCTGTAGAACGTCCAAAGACTTATAAAACCATTATTTTCCTCACTGTATGCACAAAAAATATCTATACAAGCTGCATTTTTTGTGGATTTGACAGAACTTTGGAGAAAAGTAAATAAGGGCTCCTACCTTAATACATATATAATATGTTTCTTGAGTTTAAAGAGTATTTTTAGATGCATTGGATTTGAGTACAGTACCAGCAGAAATATTGATGTGTAAACTAAGTATTTTACTCTTACAACTTCATACTATTGATATTACCATAAACAAATAGAATAAATATAGACTGTCAAAGGAAGGTTCCGGTGGCCACCGCTGCAGGCGAGGAGCGCAGGAGCCGTATGCGACTAGCAGACGCTGCAACGGTGTGCGCCGTAATTACACGGCAAACCTAGTGGTGGACGCCAGAACTTATGCTAACTGCAGCATAGCTGAAGGTCTATATTTATTCTATTTGTCTATGATATTACTTACAACTGAAACTGAATCAAGGGTCATTTTTAGTTATCATTATCTTTACAATGCCATATTATCCAGTAGCTTACCACTTTCACGGTTAACAATTTGAAATGGGTATTCCATTCCGCCAGCTGCGTTGGAATACACAATCCCACACTGTCCATCTGGTGATTTCTTGAAGCATATTGCATAATCAAGATTGTTCTGAAAATAAACCTCAGTCAAAATATGTATACTATAGATCAGCATGGAGCTTATTGAAAGTAGAATGAACTAAGAATTAAAGAAGATTTTAAAATTTTTTTAATGTCAGTATAGTTGGAGAAGTTTTTTTTATTAGTTGAAGCCACTAACTTTTTAATGAGCTAGTATCTTCAATCAATATAAATTTAACAGAAATTATAGGACTTGAAAAAAATCTTAGAGTGTAAAATGTTTGATGAAATACTTAAAAATAGATGGGTTTATCTTTAGTTTGATTATTCATTTAGTCATCTTATAATTTTAATTTTTTGTGAAAATGCTTGTGTATGCTAAATACAGGGTGATTACTGGGAAACGCATGTTTTTGACTTGCGTAGTATACAAGGAATATCGTTCGGCGACAGCCAAAAGTTGTTGCACTGTGGGGGGGAAGAGTGCAGTTTCAATTATTGCCGAGATGTGGAACCTTGAGCATTGTACGTTTGTCATGCGACAATATTACGCAAATGGTGAATCTCTCACTCAGACTCAGCGAGACTTTCGTGCACATTTTAACATTGCACGGCATGGTGCTATCCCTGATCGTCACGATATTGGGTTGGATACATAATGTTAACACAACTGGATCTTTGATTAAGAAGAAACCTCCTGGACCGGTAAGGACAGTCACCCCTGAGACAGTTGAAAGAGTGCGCCTTGCAACAGTTCAGAGTCCCAGCCGGTCAATTCAAAAGCGGGCATCTGCTCTTGGACTTCGCCCATCCATTGTGAGAAAGATTTTGGTCAAAGATCTTAAATTTCATTCTTTCAAGCTGGCAGTATGTCATCAATTGAGTCAAGCAGATAAGAGGCAACGTGTAAATTTTTGTAACAATGAGTGAAGTTTTAGATGAAAACGACAAAGCAGCTATCCTTATGAGTGATGAAGCGCATTTTCACTTGGAAAGAGCAGTCAACAATCAGATTTTACGATTTTGGTGTGCAAAAAATCCTCAAAAACGTAACTGAGAGACCTCTTCATAGATTAGGTGTGACTGTGGTATGCGGTTAGTGAAAAGGGATCATTGGTCCTTATTTTTTTTAAGACAACGATGGCGGAGCAGTGAGAGTAAATGCACAACAGGACCTAGAAATGTTGGAAGAATATTTCTTGCCAGAACTGCGCTGTCAATGTGTAGAGATGTGTAATGTATGGTTCCAACGAGATGGGGCAACAACCCATGCGGCTCGCATTAGTATGGAATTCCTTCGGCGAACATTCCCTACAAGAGTTATCTTGCATTTTGGTGATGTCACTTGGCCTTCTCGCTCACCGGATCTTACAATTCCAGATTTCTTTCTATGGGGATTTTTGAAATCTAGAGTTTACATAAACAAACCACAAACAATTCAGGAACTTAAAGAAACTATTTGCCAGGAAATTAGCGCTATTCCTAGAGATATGTTAGCAAAACCCGAAGCAAGTTTTTAGGAACGCCTTCAACACTATAAACAAGCAGAACAAGGCGACCTTAGTGTTGTAATGTTTAAATGCTAAATTTTAAGTAATTTTATTCTGAAATTGCCTATTGTGTACACTGTTTTTCCACTCATAAATATATTTTTTGCTCTGAATCTCCCGAGTACTCGTTATTTGAAAAACATTTGTTTCTCGGTAATCACCCTGTAAATCAGACAAATATATATAATAATCATCAATCAAAATCCACTTGCAAGAAACCAATAAGAAGTGAGTGAGATGAACTTAGGTAGCAAGGTAACCTCAACTTGAAGGTATTATCAAACTATCGTAGCAAATACCACAAACATCAACAACAACACCACAAACCACAAACATCACAAGACTAAAAATACCCTTCAGTACCCTCAAACAGCTCATGGTAAAAAAAAAATATCTATATATTTACTTGGGATCAACCCAGTAAAATTGATCCCAAAGTTAACAGATTAAATCAACAACTATATTACACAAAACTATTTGAAATTAATTTGTTTATGAATGAGGGCTAGATACATTTTTTGTTCCAAAATTGTCTAGGGGAATGATAATTTGGTAAAACTAGCCAAACAAATAGAACATACAAATGAATACATTAGTGAACACCTAAAAAACCACACATTTGATTTATTACCATTTTCTAATTCAGTAAACTTCACAAGACTAGGTAACCTTCCTAACTTCCCCTCTGAACATTAAAAAAAGCTTCAAACAACCAAAAATCCATACAAAAAAAGGGTCATTTACAAAATATCCAGAGGATGAGCCTGTAGGGGCTGGATCATAGTTGAAGGACTCTACGCTGCCTCTAGGTTCTGTGTAGTACTGAAGACAGTTGCGAGGGGCTAGTAGGGGATGGCCAAGGGTCATTTGGGTCACCCTGACCCTTAGGTCACGGGGAACTCCTTGGGCTCCGGACGACAACAGTGTTAGTGAGACTGGGCCTTCCGTCTCATCCACATCAACGTACACTACATGCAACAGTAAGTGAAGAGTGGATAGATCATAGGAAATTCAATTCAATTCAATTTGTTTTATTGGCCATTAGTAATCTATATTTTCACTCACTTTCTACAAACGCTTAGACATTAAGTTTCACACATATCAACACTTTGTCAGGGTCAAACAATTTATTTCTTGTCTGGGGGTATCATTCTGAGGATAGAATCGTAGAGGGTAAGAATCCAGGTCATACATAAACAGTTTTCTGAAATGTTAGGTGTATTAGCAGTGGTAAGATTGTGACTTCTATTACTGATAAATATCATCACGCTCTGTCTATTTTAATTTAACTCCAATGAGTAACTCTTATCATGAGGGGTGGATTTCTGTTCAAGGGCAAACTCAAAATCTTTCAGATTAATACAATATAGTGACATTGTCAGTGCCTGCGGGGTTGGATTCCAGGACAGCATGATTTCTCTACCCCTTCATCAAGACTAGAAACAATCAACTCTATTCACATCCAATTAATCTTACTCCTGAGTACAAAGTACTTAATAAAAAAAAGAAATGAGTTAAAATTAGTTGGAGCAAAGTTGGGACAAATCATTAGGTGGGGATTGTAATCAAAATTCCAGTCATTTGAAGTTGAACCCACAACACTACTGCTTAAGAGTGCATGGCAGTTTAACCACTTTCCTTCCATAACAAAAAAAAAAAAAAAATCGCGAGGGGGGGTGGTTGTGACGCTTAGCGCCACTATTTTATATAGTGCCACACAACTAAATCGCTGGCCTTGCGATCGGCGCGCCTCCTTCGGTCTGCCACTTGCCTTTTTTCGAGAAACGTCAAGGAGCTACGAAATCGAGTTTTCCTCCGTCTTGTCTGTCGCCGGTCTTCGTTCCCTTCGTTGGATTTTCTGATCGTCCGTTTACTGAGATCGACATGCCCTCGTTTTATCAGGATGAGTCTATAATTATTAAGTAGAGCTAAGACTAGGATGACAGGCTAGATTAACAATATAAGGGGAAGCCGGCAGGCTTTCGCCCCACTCGCAGAAATGTAATTCCAAAATAATGATTACCTCGCTTAACGAGGTAATCATTCCTAGACATGCAATAATCACCACGTTGAAAGTTTAAGTATTAATTCATTCAGGAATCGCCTTATGAGTCCAAATTGGTTCAGTAACGAGTTAGGGAACGAAATTTACCTGTTTTATCATCATTTCCGTTTTACACTAATTAGCAGTTTAGTTTGGAAGGTTAGCTATAGTTCTGTTTAATAGTTAAAAATAAGTAATCAAAGCATCTTGGCCTGCTTCTGGTCTGGGTAAAGATTTCCGCCCTATGGTTCCCCAACAACGTTTCCAATTAAATTGTCATTTTAAGATGGTAGTAGAGTACAGCACGTTCTTAATTGCAACATGCTAGGGTACTCCAGGCCCTAGCACCCACAGCAGCCAATTACCAACACATTTAACTTAATTACAATTAATACATCACATCACCACAGAAACCATAACCAGTTTTCACCCCCAATTATCTCTCCTTAGGGCCACAGAGTGCATGGCAGTTTAACTGAGTACCTATCAAAACTATCGGCCAGTTCAATTGATTTATGCTGAAATCTTGTTTATTTACTTAAATAACAATATAAATTGGTGTAAATACCTGCTTCTATGTAATCCAAATTGTTGCAAAGGCACACAACTAGTTTCGACTTCACGAAGAAGTAATCTTCAGGCGTCCAGGGGATGTCAAAATCACTTCATCAGATACACATACAGTATTGTACATTTACACACAAACACATATACGAACAACATAGTTTCCAAAAAAGGTACATTTACAACGAGTGGGAGACGAATAAAAATAGTAACTTAGGGATGATGTGTCATGACGAGAAGGACGCTACTGTTTGGACGCTACATTCATCTTTCGTGAAGCATCATCCCTAAGTTACCATTTTTATTCGTCTCCCACTCGTTGTAAATGTGCATTTTTTTTGTAACTATGTTCGTGTTTGTGTGCGTATTTGTGTGTAAATGTACCTACAGTATGTGTATCAACGACCTTCTGAAGGAGTGATTTTGACATCCCCTGGACACCTGAAGATGACTTCTTCGTGAAATGGAAACTAGTTTTGCAGCAATTTGAATTACATAGAAGCAGGTATTTACACCAATTTATATATTCAACGGAATCTGGAGGCTAACATCAAAAATGCAATTAAATAACAAGTTTTAGTGTTTTACTGTATGACTGTTTATCATAAATAAACCGACTGTATGATATCAGTGAAATGTTGAACACAAGGCAATCTGTCAGGGACTATGAGTAAATGGTGACCAGTTTGTTTTGAGAGAAATTAATGTAATTAAATTTATAATCTGAAATCTTGAATAAAGAAGTGAGAGCACTCACCATGTTTGCCAGAGTTAAAGCCACAGATCGCAGGAATTATGTCATTTCTATTCTGCCCAGTCACTACAAACCTGTCCACAACACAGTTCCCTTCCACAGGTCCTGCAAGCTGCAAAACAAATGTTATTAAAGGTATCCATCTAAAAATGTGTTGGTAATACGTTTTCCATACCAAACCAACAATTTTGTAACATGCATACAAACACTGTGTCCTTTGTGACTTTGCCTCAAAAATCTAACATGTTCAAAAGTTGAAATCTCAAAAAACTAAACCTGACACTAACCTGACATGTTGGTATTCTTATGCATTATAGTTTGATTACATGTAAGATTGATAACGATTAGAGTTATCATGTTATGCTGATATCATGTCAATATGCTTTCATCTTCAGAATATTATCCAAAATATTAAATATCATATAAAACTTGGTAACAACAGAATATAGTCCCAAGAAAACATAGTGTAGTCCCAACACAGGTATTGTCTACTAATCTACTATGGTAATAAAGCTTTCACAATGTGACTTAAAATAGGTTTTATAGTATGACAATTTATGTACATTAAAGGTCTAAAACAAGTAATACTGTAACCACCAAGCAAGCTAGTTCAAATTTGACACCATCATTACATTCTTACCTTCATCACTATTATTCTAGATTATTAAATAAATCTACACTTTCAATTATGAATGACTATTGTACACACTTGGTAATTAACATAGAGTGACTTATTTTCATAAAACATGAGCCTTCCATTTAAAAGTCCAGCAAAAACTTCTTTACCACTTTATTCAAACCATCTTTACCACATTTCATAAAGGACAAATAAATTAAAACAATGTGAAAACAACCTGAAAGTTGTCGAATGAGAGTCTGAATTGAACGACGCTGGGGTGAGACTTGTAGATGGTGATGGAGCAGATATATACTCCAGAGTCCATGTCTTGGGAGACCGCAGCGGAAGTGATGTAAGTGTTGTTGACTACTGAGCTTTCCCCACATGTCCTTACCACTGGAAGGTAAACATAACAACTCCTTAGATTAAATAAAGTTACTGATGCTTTCCTATTATGATAATGATTTGTATCAAATGCTGAACTATAAAATATTATATTTTACTTATATCTTCAATTATGTTTCTCTTGTAGGGTATGTGTTTTTAACTTTAAGTTATTGTGTAGCTGTTTATGTAGCTGGTGTTGTAGGGATTGTTTTGATTAGTAAAAGACTTACATAAAAAATAAAAGATTTACATTTACATACAAACACAACATGCACAATTGAGATGAGCCACATAATTCTTTAATTGTTATCATTCAGTGGTTGTTTCATGAAGGGGGGGGGCTAAAGCCGCCTGGAATTATAAATTTAAACATACATTTTATCGTAAAAACGTGAAAGAGGTTTTTGGACACTGTTCTAGATGATAAAATGGTTTTAAAAGTCACCTAACAGCTTAAAAAGTAGAGGCGCCCCTAGAGTTAGCCCGATCTTGACAAGGTCCTAGTACCACCGCTGTTATCATTGTCTGTGTAAAAATGGTATGTTATAACCACCGTTACACATACATGATCACATATCATGTCTGGTTGGTAGACATGATCTACGTTAAAAGAAGCAATCTGTTATCGTAAATTTTTAGTGGTCAAATACTGATGGAATTATCTTTGTATGTGTTAATATTATCTTTGGACTATTAAGTATCAATTTGGACGATGTAAATCAGTGCTGTAAGTTGATTTTATTATTAGCTAAAGCTTTGATAACCGCAAAACCGAGACTGATAAGACATTGCGGCAGCGTGTTTTGTACGATTGCGCAATCATCCCCGCGCAGCCGTGTTCAGGACTACCAGTTACAGTGAATTCTGCCCAGCCGATGCTCCCTGCCACTGCCGACGCTGAGCCGCTGACAGCGTATTTAAGCCTACACTTTCAGCGAAGCAACTACCACGTCACTCAAACGAAGGTGTACCATCTCAGGTATTGCAGGCGCACTCCATTGGTAAACTGTGCACACACTTTCCCATCTTATTATTTTATTCTCTATGGAATGACCAGGCGATTTAATGGTTGGTTGTACGGTCTATTCTCTGTAGTTGAACAAATTTTTGTACTGAGACGGAAAGTTTAATTTCTGAATTCTGTCTCCAATTAAGTAAGCTTGTAGCTAATAGTGAATTGAATTGTTTTGATCACCTAATTAATGTCACAGCAAAAGTTGTTTTGGAATTTAATGTTATACGTGGTGAGCATCTAGATACCAATCAGAGATTAAAAGATGCCAAGTACAAAATAAAAGAGTTGGAAGGCTTCCTGGACGAGTCCAAGCAAAATTTTTGGTTGAAATTAATTAAGTGAATCTTTGGTTGTGTTGTAAATGATTATCTTATAAGTGAAAAACAAACTCTGGAATGTAGGATACATGACAGCTTAAGAAAGGTTTCAAGTAAAAGTATAAAAGATAGAGACTTGCAATCTAAGTTTGATACACTTGTTGAAGATTATGATAGGCTACAATGTGTGAATAGTAAATTCATTGTAGAAAACAGTCGATTAAAGAAACTGCTTGACAAGAAATTGTTAGAAGCAAGTGGCTAGCAGCAAAACTTTGTGATGTGCCTGAAACTCTCAACAACCTGAAAGCTACAATGATAACAAAAGTAAGTGGTTATCAGACAATCTATTTTCGTCATACTTTAATTTGTTTAATTCTGAGTAAAGATGTAATATTTATGGGAGCATCAGTTACCCACATTCTAAAGCTATAAAATAAGATACAAGTTGAAGCGGTGCTATCTGAATTGGATTTTAAAAACAAGTGACTTGTTTTCTTCTGTTTAAACAACTCTCTAGATGATGGAGGTGGAACCCACTGGAGTCTGTTAGTGCTAGATACAGTCTCAAACACTGCTGTGCACTACGAATCAACCCAAGGCATGAACAGACACCATGCTGAGATTCTGATAGAGAATCTAACCATATACTCCAACGTCAAACTTGTAGGGTTTAGTGTGGCCCAACAGACAGCCAGCTATGAGTGTGGGCTACATGTCATTGTCAACGCTTGGCTGCTGTTAGTGCAACTCTGCTCAGAGACTTCAGCTCCTACCTTCCCACATCCTAATAACCCACAGATTATGACAACCACTGAGACCGCTTCTACCAACAGAAATATTAAGAATAAAACTACTTAAAGTCCGGTTTCATAATTGATCAAACATGGTTCTAAGAACAAAACTACAAACAAAGAAAATCCCTAAGCATGTAAACTAGACAAAGACATTTCCACTCCTCTCCAAGCACCAAAATAATAAAAAGAATATTCTTATTTTAGCAGACAGTCATGGGAGATACCTTAGTAAAAACCTAGCATCTATCATGGCAGGGGAATGACTACAATATAAACTGTATTTTTAAACCAAGCGCTACGATGGAAAAGGTTTTATAAAAGTAGAAGAACTTACCAAATTATTTATGAAAGCCAATGTGATAGGAGGATCGAATAATGAAATTGTGCAGGCTGAGTTAAGCTACAATAAGAACAATTTTGAACAAGACAAATCACAAAAATGTCATTGTCTCTGCTCTGCCTTATAGACATAGACACACCAGGATTGAATAGAAGAATAACCTATATAAATATGGACCAGCACTGAAGAGTCTGTAGGAGAATACAGTGGGGAGTGATAAGTGAAGTGGGGAGAGCAAGCCCTATTGTATTGTTTCCATCAAAAAATAACACAGAGGGACTTCACTTTAAACTCCCCGCTCGTGCTAGGTATGGAAGAAAAATAATACAACCTAAAAACATTTTTGTCAATAAATATAACAGTAAAATAAAAATATTGAATCAGAACATTCAACATTTAGCAAGCCGCATCGAACCACTAGAAATTATTTTAAACTAAAGTAACCCCGATACAGTAGTTTTAACAGATCATAAATTAAATCAAAATGAGATCTCTAGATTGCATGTAAATAAATTAAAATTACTTTCTCATTATTGCCGCACCATCTCGACGGGTGGTGGTGTTGCCATCTTTGAGCGTGGAGCTGTAAAGTGGAGTCCAGTTGTTATTCCTGAAGTGTCCTTACATGAAGAAAAACAGTTTGAGAGCAGAATGTTTGTTTTAAATCTGATACTGGGTCATTCTAAAGTACTTAATTTCTAAAGTTTCATTTTTAGGGAATTTCCCATGCAGGGAATAAGCTATTACCGTAGGTCTCGTGGTGAGACAAGATCCAGGACCGATTTACTAATTCGTTTTGAGGTCCCCAGAGGCCAAAAACACCATCCTTTCAAATTCATATATATATATGTCCGTTAGCGCGATAACTATAGAGCAAAAATGATCCGATTTTGATTAAATTTGGCACAAACGTGTAAACCTACGTTTATTCAAACGAGTTTGCGAACCAGCATAATCGGACTATGGGAACGGGGTTTTATGAGGTAAAAATAGATTTTTCCCATTTTTTACCATAAAAACACAAAATTTCATATTTCTCTCCAAACTATTTTGTAGGGCTTAAAAAAAGAATTAATTTTGTATATTGAAGCATTGTTGTGTGCCCAACAGTTTGGGAGATAATTTAAAAAAAATGTAAATTTAAAATTCCCATGTTATTCTTACGGAGAATAAATCAACTGTTTAGTTTACTTGTTTATTTAACCAAATTTGGAAATTTTGTTTGTTTCATTCTAAGCTATCAACATTCAATAAAAAAACACACCTCAATATCTTCCCTGTACCAGCAAACCTAAGTACTCACCAAAATTAATGTTATTTAGATAGGAAACAAATCTGACAACGTTAAGGAAATATTTTAGTAGAAATCCAGCCAGGTAAATGGAAATTCGCTTAGTCTGCAGGTTGGCTGCGGCGGGTTATTTTTACATCGGCTAAGCAAGCTATTAGACATTGTACTAGCTAGGAATAAATATATTATAGTGGCTGGTGACATAAATATTAACACATTATGAAATGATAGGAATGCCGATCTAAACTCCGTTATAGTTAGACATGAATTTAAATATCTGGTTGATTTTCCCACAAGGGTAGTAGGGCCCTCGGAATCTGCATAAAAAAGCAAATTGATCAAACATAAGAACCTAATCCTAATCTAAACCTAATCTAAAAATAGAGGGACTGGTTACATATCTGTATGATCATGATGCCCAAATTTTGACCTTTGATAAATTCTCGCGGTCCTGTAGACTTAAATATCGTCTTCCATGATCGTGGCAATATATGAACATATCCCACGGTCGTGAGGATACTATCGTCTAGCGGGAATGAAGCAAAATCATCATAATGTCCTGCGGTTGTGTGAACATTTTCATCGTCTTCTGCGATCGTGGTAAAATTCTGCTCATCCCTGGCGGTCGTGTATAGACATATTATCATGTACCGCGGTAAGGGAAACGTCACTGTTGTAATGTGTGATCACGGTAAATTGAAAATTCCAGGTATAAATGCAAAATTCACGCATAATTCCCGGTTCAAAAAACTTACATATAAATCCCAATTTCCCGGTTGGTGGACACCCTGTTATATAAAAATATTGCGAAGGGGCACTACTATAAGTTGTGCCTAGTGCGCTAACAGTGTCAAAAACGGGCTTGAGTTTACATTGTTTCATCTGTGTTGTTGAAAAAAGATAACTCAATGGATAATGCTTGCTAAAGGCAATCATTAAAGTCAAAATTTGCGACTGTAACAATCTTTAAACCTCTGCCATAGAAGTTGCTTATCTTGAAAAGCCTCTACAAATTATCTATACCAAATTGACACAACTGTTTAGAATTATTTCTTATTATTTTGATTGTAATCTCACCAAAGCAGCAGACACCGAAGCCTTGGGCACATGAACCGTGGGGCTGCCCTCCCAAACTATGACATTCTGAGGAATGGTAACAAACTCCCACCATACCCTCCTCTGAGTAACACAGCTCATTGGTGAAGTTAACAATGGTGAAAATGTTCAAGACTGAAATACCAATCCAGACTTTAGAACAAGATTCTATGCATGTTTAACTGTGATTAAAAGATACCTGTAGAATAATTCTTGTACTAATTTTAGTTACCACTGTAAACTGGTTGGTTCATTCTGTGAATAAATTATTTGAATTGAACCCAACAAATTGTTTGGACACTTGCTTTCCAAAATCCAATAATTATTACTAAAAATCATTTCATTACAACTCAAAAGGTCGGGTTTCTTTATACATTTTTTCATTCCAGTACACATAAATATATCAGTACTTTTCATCTACAAGTTACAACATAAGCTTAAGAGGATCCACAAAACAAGGATATTAACTTTCAGGAGGCTGATGAAGTTTTAACTGCTTAATAAAACTATAGTTCGGCCACTTAGAAAGCAACCTGTGCACTAATGCTAACCAATGCTAGAGGAGGTTGCTTTCTAAAAAAACTAAGATTTTTTATTATAATTTTTGTTAAGATTTTATTGTGCATCCCATATACATTTTACTTTGTTTACATTATTTTAAATTCCATTTTAAACTTTATATCCAAAGTCAAATTGTAGAATCTTTGTGTTTCAACTGAAAATTTTACAATTTGACGAGTCCAATTTGGATATAATGTTTTAGTATACCACTTGAAAATGCCACATTTGGCAAAACATATGTAGTGGATTATAAAACACTATATTTGAACTGCAAGACGAGGTATGTGATAGTTTAGAGTTTACATTTTACTACAACATATTTTGAAGAATTTGTAAAGAAAACTCAAAATTAACATGAACAAATTACTTTTTCCTACAGTTACCTAACAATGTACATGTTTTCTCACTGATTTAAGAAAGCAAAGTGGCCAATTCGCTCATCAGTGAGAGTGAGACAATGTTAACATTGTCTCACTCTAATTACTTTGTCTCACTCCAGATTTGCAACGTGAAGGCACGAACTAGTGAGCGCGTAACATGCAGGCAACGCCGTATGCGCGCGAAATACGTTGGCAGCACTGGCTGTAAATCAGCTGGTCAGCTGTTGTACTGTTGTATTTGTCACTTCACATTAAATGTTATATTTAAAGTTCACTTCTGTGTAAAAATAGGTTATGTTTCTTCACAAATTTATTTGTTTTATGGTAACTGTAGGAAAAGTATAATGTGCAACTCGAGTTCAAAGTACAATTGCCTCAATCGAGAAACCATTCCTCACTCGCCTACGGCTCGTGAGTAAGGATTTCTCTCGAGTGAGTCAATTGCTCACTTTTCTCACTAGTTGCACAAATAACTATTGTTATTACAGGATACACAATGTTTATCTCCACAAATATTAAGGCTTACAGTGGATTCTTATACAATTATTATAAGGGATGGAAAAGTATTTTTAATATACTAAGTCTGTGTGTGAATAAGAGCCTTTTAGTACTGTTTACAAGGTCTTAGTATCATCACTGCCAAAAATGGGTAAAAGTATTTTATGTTTAATGAATATTGCAGAGTAGGATGGTATGTATAAACTGCATACTTACGTTTAGCAATTTTATCAGCACCGACTTTGATATCAATTCCAGATTTCTTAGTTGGCTGAACTGTATTGTTTGCTGAAATAGTTTTATTTCTTTTCTTTATGGAAAAGTGCAATTTATATGGATCTGTAGTATTGAGTTTCTGTATTTTTGCTTTGTACTTCATAATTTTCACATTATGAGCAGTAACATCTTTATTAGTTTGTTTTTGTGTCAATTGAACATTATTTTTAATACGAGAACTGTGACTTCCAAAGTGATCAACCAGCACAAATTTATTTCCATCGATTTCATTACTTATCTTTTTGTAATATTTTAATGATCTTTCACTTGAAGTCACATTGTGTTTTGGAAGGTAAATTGTTCGAGTTTCGGATCCATTGTTCTGAATTCGGATAATGTTTACATCATCAAATGAATGTCCAGAACAAAGCACTACTTTAAGCACTGCAGACAACATGAAACTTTTGAATAACTTATTCATCATTTTAGGCACCTAAAAAGTCGTATAAATTAGTTCTTTTTGTTCTTATACTTTGAGTATGATAGTATGTGAGTGCCTTGATCTTCATCTGTTTGTGTACATATTGACCGAGAAAGGAACTACCAGCCAGATTAACAAGAACACGTAGCAGAGCCGGCCTTCGGTGGAGGGGGCACAGTGCAAACATTTAGAGTGGGGCCCCTTACTACCAAAAACGTAGTATACCATCAATACTAACAAACTCTCAATGTGAAATACTAGTATTCCTGCTCCCCCCTTTTTATTTTTGATAATTGTCGTAAAATTCAAAGATAATAGTAACAAATTCAATGATTTTTAACAATTTTTTTGTATTTTCACCAAACGCAGGGCCCCCCGAGGCTTGAGGTCCTGTACGGCTGCACCTTTCGCAAGTGCCTAAGGCTGGCTCTACTACCTTGTTATTTTGACAAATTAAAAAAAGTATTTCTCACAAATCAACCTTTGTTCATTGTATTTTTCAGCATCAAATTTCCCATAAAATTTACTTTTGTGAAAAACCTTAGCTGAATCCAAACTATCCACTACTAAGTAGTCAACAGCTTTCCAACATGATGTTAATTTCTGTTGGACTGAGCCCTGCTTGGAGTAAAAGATCAAATTTACTGCTTTGGCAATCTGTGTAAATCTATATAAACTTTGATTTAGCTTGTTTTAATTTAGTTTTGAACCACTCTTTACATTGAGTGGAAAATTGTATTAGGCTTACAATTTTAACTTAGATAAGAATCATTTAGTAATATCCTATAAAAATTTAGTGATGAAAAATGCTCAACATATATTAAACAAAACAGAAAAATCAAACTGCCAAACATGAAAAAAATCTTCATAATTAGCAAAACAAATACTCTACAACCCTTGTTCAGCAAAATGTTTACCATTCTATTTTGACCCAGAATACAGTAGGATCTTTATTCGACTCATTAGACAAATATACTAAGAAAACTGTAATTTTTACTCTTAACGTTATGAAACACAAAACAAACAACTTCAACTTCCAATTCACAGATCATCAGCATATCAGAGGACTCCTTCATTCCAAGATATTTGTCTTTTTAATGCTTTGCTGCTTATTATAATCAGATGCATGCCTAACTAAATATATGAAAAAATGTTTATAATTTTTGCTATAAAAATGTTTTTTTAACGCCAGTGAGTATTCAAATTTTTAATTATTGTTATCTTGTATATTTTTTATACTGACTCATTGCTTATTATTTTTACTTACTGGTTTATTATTGTTTATTTTAGATTTCGCTGTAACTTAATCTCCTATCATTAAGGGTTTACCTTATTATGTGGTGTACTTAAATAGGATCCACCAAGAACTGACCTATAGCAGTGAGTAAGGAAGGGTAAGATACTCCTACTCACAACAAGTAAGTAGCACTTGTCAATGTCAATGCCACACTACTCACAATAGCTCCAGGCTGGAATCATGTGGGACACTATACACGCTCTGTTGGCTCCAGACCTTGATTCGCTTCTTACACACTGTCTCACTATGCCATTATCCACACTTAATTAATTCCAACAGCAATATTGTCATCATCTTTGTGTATGTGACCTGTTTTGGTTTCGAGACTACAATTATTTACCTTTCTTTTACATGAGTTATTATATTATTCAAATTTCCTTCATGGTTAACTATTTCTGGATTTTGAACATACCACAATTTTTAAAATGTTTTTACTTTACCATTATTGGGCTAGGATTATTGTTTGGTTATTTTTGGCAACTCTTAATGCCACCTTTAGTGTGTCAAACAGCTGATAAAAATAACATCATTTTTGTCATTATTGACTATTGAAAGTACAACTGGGGTGGTAATAATCTATTACCACCATTGTCTTTTTTAGTTTTTATTTTAGCTATAGTTGACTGACGTTTTCCAGCAATGTAACCGCATTTTATGGAAATAAAATTTCTTGATTCTTGATTATTAAGGTTAACTTAAATGTTCCACCATAATTGTGAGTGTGTATTTTCTAGTCATTAATTTATAGTAGTTTACGCAACGATCGCGTAAAGATATTGTTAATGACATTAGTAGAAAATTTATGGTACAAGCCTTAGCGAGTGCCTTAAAAACTTAGTGCCGTAGAAAATAGTGTCGTTAACACTATTTACCCGAGTTGCGTAAACTACTTTATATACGACCGGTTTTTAATTACTATTAATCCTTACTCAAAATTTCTAAGAGAGGTTATGGTTTCGTTTATAAGCTCTCATTGCCACTGACATTGATGCAATGACTCATTGTACCAATCACTAATTGCACCAATCGTTAACAATTAAATTGGTAAACAGCTGACTAGTTGAAGTTCAAAGCATTACAATTTTACTTCTTTTCTCTCAATCCTTGAAGCTCATTGGTCCGTTACCCGTGTTGTTAAGTAAAACAATGTTGTTATGTGAAACTTTTCAATTCTAAGAACTGAACTGAAAAGGCTATTTCAAAAAACAGTCGTAGGTAAAATTATTAACATAAGTTTCACTAGTGTAGAAGACATTTTATAAATTTTAGATGTTCTTATTAGTTTCCTGAATCCATCAATCATACAAGCCATGTATAAAAAGTGAAGGAAGGGAATAAATAACTCACCTTAGAAGTGAAAGTTATTTAATATAAATGCATTAGATACTTACAACATGTCTTTTACAATAATACTAACAAATCACAGTACGTTGGTAAACTTCAACTATTGTCACCATCATAGTCACGGCAACACAGTTCTGGAAAAAAACAACAATTAAAAGAATAGATAAAGATTTAGATAGGCCTACAGATAAAATGTACAAATACCCAACTATTGATTGGCATATAAAAAAATTAAACGTTATAAATTTAATCAAAAAAGATTGTTTAAGTTTCTCGACAATAATAACAGTTGTATAGGACTGAAAATCTGTATTTAAGAGAGTAAACATTAAAATTAAAATTAATTTAATTATCTGTTGGCATCATGCTCCTAACAGAGGTTAGCCCATACAGGATACTAATCCTTTTTATTGGTTTACAATTCTTAAAATATCAGGAAGACAGTTTAAATTTACATTTATTACATTTTTAATACTCATTGAAAAATATGAAATATGGATTGTGGTTATTTTATACTTTGAATTTGTTGATGAGAACCAACAATAATTAAAGCGTAGAACCCTTATCTTCATCATTGCTTGCTTCATTAAAGTTTAGAGTACACTGCCCCAGAGGAGCGAGTTGGTCTAGTGGTAGAGAGTTCAAATCCTTGAGGTCACTAATGGATTTTAGCAATGTCATAATGCTACGACCCTCTAGGCCTTTAGTAATGTGTCGGGATAAAACCTAGCACCCTGCGATGTGAGGTTGCGACCCAGTTATAAGCCATAAAGAGCACAAAGTGCTTGGTTGAATTGTACCTATTGGATGATGATAGACAATTAGTCTTATTTGTGGATTTTAAATTAATCACTTTATAGCCCCGTTCACACGGGGCAAGTTTACAAGCTACATGCCGGCTTTTTTACACGCAGCTAGTAAAATAGCTCAGTGTGAACGACGTACTCGCTCAAAAGCTGCTTGTAAAAAAGCTCTGGAAAAAGTTGACGCTGCCGCTACTTTACACGCCAACTCGCCAGCTTTTGAGCGAGTAGGCGTGTAAAGTAGCCCAGTGTGAACACAGTTGCTTGTGCGCTTGTTACTCAAAGATGTTGGAGGATTTGGTTCAAGCCAGCTACTGAGCGAGTTGAAAAAGCATCGTGTGAACGACTACAAGCGCACTCGCCAACTCGCCGGCTTCTTACACGCTGGCGTGTAGCTTGTAAACTCGCCCTGTGTGAACGGGCCTTATGTTAGGAGCCACAGTGAAAAATGTTCAATACTTTTTTACTGATACAGTAGAACCTCTCTTGCAAAATAAAGGGAGGGGAAGTAGTTTCGGGTGACTGAAATATCTTAGCCAAAAAGGTATTATGTTTAAAAGAGGTATATTATAGTGGGCCTATTATGTTTTAAAGCCTAAAAATCTTAGGTATTATGTTAGGATGAAAATTATTGTTTCAGTATTTAAAGTGATGAGAATAAGACAATAACTAAAGTACATATTAAGGTTACACAACACTTTTAATGAACATTAAAGCATAATTGAAACAGATAGAGATATGTTTTGCATCTAAAAAAACTACTGGATTTTAAGCTGATTTAAAAAACCTTTAATTTTTTCTTGATGTTTACGCCAGTGGGATTTTTACAGGAGAGGCAATGTACAGTGTACTTGTGGCTGGGTATTTTTTGACTAGCTATTTAATGTAAAAGGTCTCTGCGTTGACAAATAAAGAAGTTCTTATTTCATTTGATGATGTGCCGGGAATCAAACCTGTCCGTCCCGCACCGTTGTGATAACCACTACACTAGTAACGCATCCTCGTTATTTTCTTCTTGCAACGTTTTTCAACTACACCATCACTACCTATGACGATTACAGACTGGCATCTGTTTCCGTCTTCTTCTAGTAATAAGGTCCAGCTTAGGGCTGTGCCAGTCGGGTGGGTGCAAAAATAACAAAAAGTCTGGGGGGGGGGGGGGGGGTGGTGCTGAAATGGGAACTTGCACAAGTAGAAATTTACCCTCAAGACAGCCCTGCTCCTCTAAGACAGATGTGTAAATCATAGTATATGCGATTAGGAGTTTGTAATTTGTAAGGACGAAAGACTTTCAAAAATAAATGTTTACAAACCCTTGTCTGTTAAGCCATCTCTTGAAAATAGGTACTAAAAGACCACCAAGGATGATTTGTGTTGGATGGTAGACTAGTAGTGGGAGCGTTATCTGGGAGAAATGTGCGTAGCCAGAAAACAGTATCCTTAGAATAGGAACTCCTGAAACCAAAATCAACTGATGAACTTCAACTGAAAACAAAAAGTTTTGGGAATTTTTTATCAAATTAAAAGACAGATTAAAACTATGAGAATCTCATTCATATTAAACATGACAGACAATAACGGATAAGTTTAGTTCTCCAGGCAATTTTTATTGCAAATAATGTTCTTTATTTCACTTGTACGGTAACAAATAAATCACTACATTTCATTTTGTGGAGTGCACAAAAGCTGATGTCATCAATGCTTTAAAATCGTTGCAAATTAAACATTCATGAGGATGGGATAGGATCCCAATCAATCTCATGGAAAAAAAATCAAAATTTATATTCAAACCACATTTAACAAAGAAAGATCTCCATGCCCGAGACACCTATTATATTACATTCTAGAAAGGTGGACCTACAAGTGTCATAATCATTAAGGTACATTTAAGGTAAATAAAACCCATTAGTAGATTTGAACCCTGGCCTACCCTACATAAGTACCGAGCTATAATAGACCAGTTATGTTATCATAAACTATTTCAATAGTAATAAATAAATAATAATTTAAAATTGTGTATTTAATTATTTTAATCAAACGACATTTAAGTAATTATTTACAAATAATGACGATGTCAATTACAATAATGTATTGTTTAAAGACTGAATAAATGACTATTCAATGACTATTCAATATAAGCTAGAGTATAATTTTAAAATGTAGAAATTGTACCCAATGTGAGAGACTTGTGTGTAGAACAGAAGGTAATTGTGATCACATCAGCTGGAGTGTAGAAAAACTCAGCCAGGTGGAAAGTGATGTATAACAGGGCCACCTGGAGTAGTAGAACTGAAAAATATAACATGAACACTTACACGGTGTCATGTAGGCCTAAGTACAAAAAATTAGGAACAACGGTTTTTCGAAAAACCTCTTAGAGGCAAGATTCCGCCATTTTGTTTTTTGTATTAAAATTTGTATCTTAAAAAAATGAAGTTTATGAAATTTTGGATACAATTTAAAATAGCAATAATCTACTTATGAAAAAATAGTAGGCCTAATTGAAAAATATTTCTTTGTTTCAAATTGGCGGCTATATTTATAACTTAAATTAGTTAAATTACAAAGAAATGGCTGATTTTATGAAAAAAATGCCCACTTTTCTTTAGCATTTAGAGTTTCCTCTCAAACAACACCAAGTTAAAAGATTGAATAATCAATGGCTGAAAAATAACTATTTTAGTTGTAGAGGACAGGTAAAATGGGCCTGACAGCTTGGTCTCATTTTACCTGGCCAGTCAATGGAATACCTGCTAAGGTATCAAGAGCTACTTGAAATGGACTCCTGTGGGGGTAGGTCTTAAAACAAAAAAAGGTTTATTGGGAAAACAGTTTAGTATATAAGTAATTGAATAGAATAGGTTAGGTTTTTATCCAATTAAAAACACTCGGTACTAACAGTATTTTGATCATGCCACCCATGTTAATAAAGCACATTCTATAACAAGAACTATTTTTGCCACACTGTTTTAATGAACTTCCCACACAAAGATTTAGCCCGGAAAACAGCTGTTTCAATTATGTTTTACTGTACTGTAATGAATTTTTACCGGACACCAGCTGATTATACAACGAGTAATGCAATGAGTGGTCGGTACAATAAGATGTTGCATCACAATCAGTGGTAATGAGAGTTTATAAACAAAAACATAACCACTCTTAGAAGTTATGAGTAGTGATTGTTAAGTCCATTAGTCAGTGGGAATACTTATAACGGCTTTGTACAGTGATTTTATTGTTAGGATAGTTTAGGGTAGTAGGCTATGATGAAAAATATAGTCACTCGACAAAAATGTGTTTTCCCTATTCGTATGGTAATCCTGCACGAGTCTTTGCAAGTCTCGTGCGGAAACAACCATACTTGTCCGGCAAACACTTATTTTCCTGACTAGTAATGTAATATTACTATTATTTATGAACAAACAATTTGTCATTGTTTTCTTACTGTAACACTACCAGTATCATTGTTTCTTTTGGACAATGATACAGTACCAATAAAATACTGGAAACCAATGCTAGATTTTGAATAGAAAAATAAACTACTTTATATTTTATAATAAGACACAGTTAATAATGGAATAGTACACACTACCAAAGACTGATAAGATTAAAGACCGACCGAAAATTATGATGTATAGCTAGATCAAATTCTATTATAAAAAAATGTGTTTCCCAAACAAACTTGACAAGTATCTTCACAGTAATATAAATTATTCAAAACTACACATCTCTTCATGAATTACCTTACAAAATTTAACAAAAAAAAAACAAATGCATTTTCCTCAAGAATTTTTTGCATAAGTTTTTGCAAATGCATATAGTAGTTTACGCATCGACCGCGTAAAGATAGTTTTAACAGCTAATTATGCGAGTTGCATACACTACTTTAACTACGAAAGATTTGTTTATTTACTAACAATACTACTCATAATGTCTAAGAGAGGTTATGTTTTTGTTTATAACTTCTCAATGCCACTGATAGTGATGCTGATGCAGCGACTTACTTACTTGAATACTTGAATACTGCATCGTTGACCGACAAAGTCGGAATAGATTGCGTCACATATAATAATACTACTATTTACAAAAGATTTAACTAAGATGGCGGCGGGTTGCCAAAAAGTGGTGTGTCGTCCAGCTCACTTAGTGAGTACAGAGGTCTGCCCACCAGATAGTCTCTCAGGGTGTCCTTGAAGGCCCCATGTCCAGCTCGCGCACTTCAATTGGGAGCATGTTATAGAGCTTACTTGTGTAGTAGGGGTAGCCCTTTTGAGTCCAGGCTAGTCGGCATCTAGGTAGGTCAATGAGATGGCCATGTCGCGTTTGATAGGAATGCTGGTCCTCACGTCGAGCAAGTTTTGCCGAATTTTCTTTAAGTAGCACCATACTATTTAAAACGTACTGGCTGTAGATGGTCAGAACCTTATTACTCATTGTCTCATTGTCCCAACCACTCACTAATTTTATAATCAATTATTAAATTGGCCTGAACAGCTGTTTAGTTGAAGTTCGAAGCATTACAATTTTACTTCTTTTCTCTCAATTCTTGAACCTCATTGGTCCGTTACCCGTATTTTTTAGCAAAAAAAAAAAAACAATGCTGTTAAATGAATCTTTTCAATTCTAAGAACTGAACTGAAGTGGCTAGTTTAAAAAACGGTCGTAGGTAAAATAGTTAACATATTAGTAGATTTAGTAAATCAGCTGATTAGCATGTTGTTAGAGTTGAGGCAGTTATCTGTCTTGAGATCATTTGACATCTCAAGCTTTAACGTGTTCACTGCTAATGACACGCAATAGCGTCATCAGTATGTCAGCAGGCATATAAATATATTATGTACATAATTATACAATGTATTTTCATTTACAATTTATAGGAGAAAATATATTCAATTTAAGATAAATTAGCACTCCACATACCTGATTATGTTTATGTTTATGTTTTAGGCCTAATGTAAAAGTATTATATATCATTAGCAGTGAATGTGTTAATGAGATGCATGTACAACATACCTAGGCCTACAGTGATGAGTATGTCACTGGCATTCATTCCAACATCATGAGTTTTTAAAGCATCACAAAATGTAGTGAAGATGATAAAGAGAAGAGCAGTTTCCCCCACAGTGGATAGAGGGAGACGATGAACAAGACTGGCCAAGCCATACCTAACAATTACAGTCAAGTTAGGTCATATCAAATATACAGTTACTTGTCAATTATCTCACCCTATATATTTGATATTAGTGATGTGTCCAAACTGAATCTCAAAACCATCACAAGGTTCAATTTTGAGATTTGATCGGCAAATTTCAAGATTCAAAGGGGTTTTTTAAATTTTTTTATTCTTCTAGAAAAACAATTCTAGTACAACGGTTTAAGATATAATTGAGTAAAAAAACCACTTTTACGAAGATAAATATTGTTATATATAATACTATAACAAAAGATGGAGCAAAAATCCACGGACCCTAAAGACTATCTACTTATCTAACCTAGCCAAATGTGTACAATAAACTAAGTGAGTTGAAGTCATGGAAACAACCAGTAAAAAAATATGGTTTGTTATGGATATATAGTAGTATCCTGGTAAGTTTTGTAAGGCTAACATGCTCTTGCTCACTGAAATACCCCCACTGCAGCAAACCTGCAGACTAAGCAAATTTCCATTTGCCTGATTGGATTTACACTAAAACGTCTCCTTAAATATATCACATTTATTCCCTATTTAAATATAATTAGTTTAATGAGTACCTACTAACGTTTGCTGCAACAAGGAGGGTAAAAAAGTGTTATTTTTTTTTTGTAAAATGTTAATAGCTTAGTAAGAAATAAATGCATTTTCCAAATTTGATCAAAGTATGTTCATATACAAGCAAACTACAACAGTTTACTTATTCTCCATAAGAATAGCATGGGAACTCGGTCGGCTGACAACCGAGAGGTTATTGCTGTAGCGCGTAGGCACGTTCCCTGCGTGGGACGAACTTGTATTATGTTTTGAGTATTTTAAAAATAAAGCGATTTTTTATTCAAAATAACATGGGAATTTTAAATTTACAGATTTTTTGGAATTATCTCCGTAACCATAAGGCCCATAATAACGCTTCATTATACTAAATTATTTGTTTTTTTAAGCTCTACAAAATAGTTTGGAAAGAAATTGCTAAATTTTATGTTTTTTTGTAAAAAATGGGAAAAACCAATTTTTACCCCATTACCGATCATGGTTCCCATGGTCCGATCATTCTGGTACGCAAACTCGTTTGAATAAATGTAGGTTTCAACGTTTATACCAAATTTCATCAAAATCGGATCATTTTTGCTCGAGTTATCGTGCTAACGGATATATATGTATATATATATGAATTTGAACCGATGATGTTTTTGGCCACTAGGGACCTCAAAACGAAAAAGAAAATCGGTCCCGGATTCAGGCATGACTACTACGGTAATAGCTTATTCCCTATATGGGAAATTCGCTAAAACCAGAAATAAGCGGTTATGGGAGTAGCTTTTTTTTACTTAGTCTACATAAAAGCTAACAGATATAAAGTAATCTTAGAGCACATCACAAGATTTCAAAAATCTGTTAAAACTTTATAATCAGTACACTGCCAATGTCTTCTATAGCTTGTATGTCCTGTGACTATTATGAGTTTCTAATCTACAAGCAAATATTTTACTTAAATTCCTTGCTGAATTTATAATCTAGTTTAATTCTACCACAGGCCTGATATTTTTTTTCTGAAATAAAATTTAAGAGAAGATACTTTGTAAATGTAGGGTAGGCCTCATGTTACTCAGCTTGTGCAAGAGTATTCGGTTTTAGAAGCCAATTTTTGAATTCTGCTAATCACCAAATGCTTTAAGGTATGTTATAATATAATGCCACCACCCTGTTGTTTTTAGACCACCTTAAGCTAAAAGTCCACCAATATGGAAAACCAGAAAGGATAGGTTTATCATGCAAGGTTCCGTAACGATAATTAAGATAGTATTTAATGAAATAAAAAATATGGAGATGGGAGTCAATTTGAGTTGATTTTTTACCACTGAGAAACTCAGACAAAGCAGAAAAGGTTCTACAGGTTCTGTTTTAAAGTTGTTTTTTTTTAGTAAAGCCTAGTCTTTTTTAGTATTGGGGAGTTCTAATCGCTTACAAGACCTAATTTTCTAGGTAGATTCGCTTATTTTACGGTGGAGTCCACAGTAAGCTGAAGGTAGGTTCTGAACCCCATGATTTGAAAGTATGTATCACAACTACTAAATGGATAACACCCGTACAGAAATGTCAGTTGTACATAGACAAGTGGTGAGATTACAATTTACCTGCGTGACAGCTGGCCCAGACAAAGTGGAAAAAGCACAGTTTGGTAAAGTACCGCCACAGAGTTGAATAGCGACACAACAGCAGTCGACCCCAACTGTCCAATACAAATAGGGTATGACAGCAATTTAAACCAAGGATTTAAATCTTATTGTAACTTATAGTAGTTGACTATCAATGACTTTTTTCAAGAGGCCAACCTTAAATAAACAGTTGACAGCTCGCAAAAGTCCTTGTGGCGTAAGTGAGACGTAGGAATTAGCTCTGGAACTCACTGACCCGGTCGGGTGGCGGAACTGGCTAACCTACCCAGTCAGGAATTGGCTAACTCCGGAACCCGCTAACTTGATTTTGTCCCGCGGCAGGATTTTTTTTTTATTTAAGGCAAAGAGGTTGGCGGCCTCTTTTAACCTTGCATTTGCCCGTCCACATAGACTAAGCGCCCGTGCGTGGATCGTTTACAGCAAAGCAAGGAGTGAGCCGGTACAGTACAAAGGTGAACTGTACTGATAAATTTTAGTGGCAGTGACCAGGATCCGAACCCACGACATCACTGCCTTGGGCCTGAAGTCCGCTACGCTACCGACTGAGCCACCGACTCACAATTCACTAACTCTGGATTACTAACCCGGCCGCACCCACTGCACGGAGCATTGCCAACCTTGTACGACGAAATAATCGTACCTTTCCGTATTTCAAAATATCAGTGTCATTCCATTTTAGATTCGCGATCATCACCCGAAGACCAAGATTTGAAAATCTGCAGTGACCGTGGAAGCCTATCTTCTAGACTAGATTGTGGGTTTTCTTTGTTTCACTTAACTGTGAATAATTGAATTCATTAACATTTTTATTTTAATAAAGGTTTCTTGGGTGCGGTCCTATTCTCCTAAAATCACTTGATTTTTCGGAAAGACAGATTATTTGACATATCAGTTTTATTTATGAAATGTGTGTTTATAAAAAATATACCGTCCACCGTCTTTATCTGTATTTTTAAGACTAACAAGATGCCAGTTGCCTTTCGTGTGTAATAGAAATAACGTAATCGGTTCAGTTTAGTAGGCCTATATAGAGTAACTTTATCGCCCATAACGATTTAGGCCCTTATTAGACGAGGCAGCCAAGTTGCGCAGCCAGCCGGGCAGCCAGTCGGCCAGCTAGTCACTGGGCATTGGTTCTTATGGAGCTTATTACACGAGGGCAGCCAGTTGCGCAGCCACTGTTTGGCTGCCGGCTGGTTGCCGAGCCCGCCGACCGCACAGGCAACCACTGGCTGCTCGGTCTGGTCGCGCTCCTGTGTAGCTTACGGATCTTATTACACTGGGCAGCCAGTCGCCCTCTGCCACACACATCAGTAGTAGATAATCACTCGTGGAAGTGCGTTCATCTCTGCCGGTCACATCATTGTGTGTTGTTTTCCTCAGTATTCTTGTAATATAATTGTGTAATTGGTGTAATATAATCCTTTTTCTGTTCTTGATGAAAGAATAGGATGTATATGCATTCTTCTCTTCCTTATCTTCTCTTTTTCATGAGTAGCAGAAGAAGCAAATATTCATCTAGCATTCTGACAGCATCTCTCCCCAACAGAACTGTTCCACCAACACTGTTCCACTGTCAACAAGAGACTGGCCTAGTTGGTAATTTTGTGGCTGCCCTGTGGCACAGAAAAAGTAAAACGTACTACTTTTTCTGTGCCTGTGGCTGCTCTACTGGTTGCTCTACTGGTTGCTACGCTAGGCAGCCAGACAGGCAACTGGCTGCCCGGCTGGTTGCACAACTTGGCTGCCTCGTCTAATAAGAGCCTTAAAAAACAGCTACATCGATTCCCTCCAAATGGTTAGAAATACCGGGTGTCCATAAATGAATATCGGGGTTTTAACTCTTTATAATATTAATTACATTAAACTTACAGTTATAAATGATATGTCACATGAAAGAGCAACTCAAACAGTTTTATATACAAGCTTACAAGTGTTCTATGTGAGCACCATTTGTCACACGGCACACATCAAGTCTATAGCTGAGTTCTTCCCAAACGTTGAGCAGTGTGTCTTCAGTAATTGTTGCAACAGCTGCTTCAATCCTGTTTCGTAATTCATGGAGGTCAGCTGGTAATGGAGGCACATACACACGATCCTTGATGAAACCCCAAAGGTAGAAATCGCATGGCGTTAGGTCGGGTGAACGTGGAGGCCACGCATAGCAAGCTCTGTCATTGGGTCCCTTGCGGCCAATCCAGCGGTCGGGTAAAGTTACGTTCAACCAACCGCGTACTTCGTTATGCCAGTGAGGTGGCGCGCCATCTTGCTGGAAAATGAAATTCTCTGGTTCATATTGTTCCAATTGAGGGAAGAGCCATTGCTCTAGTGTATCAAGGTAAGAAGTACCAGTAACAGTAGCTTCACCAAAAAAGAAAGGTCCGTAAACTTTCCGCCGGGATACGGCACAAAAAACATTGATTTTAGGGGAGTCTCGTTGCACTTGTACGACCTCATGAGGATTTTTTGAGCCCCATATCCGCACATTATGAGTGTTAACATGTCCACTGAGGTGAAAGGTCGATTCATCACTGAAAACAACATGATCTAGAAAATCTTCATCGTCATTTAACAGCATTACGTTAGCGAAGTTGGCACGTAAACCATGGTCTGCAGGCTTTAGAGCCTGTAACAACTGTAAACGATAAGGACGTAGTTGCAATCGTTTCCTTAAAACTTTCCAAACAGTCGACTTAGCAATTTCTAATTCACGACTAGCCTTCCGAACTGATTTCTTTGGGCTACGAGTGAACGACTCTCTCACTCGCTCAACATCCTCTTCGCTAACTCTTGGTCGTCCCGTGCTCTTCCCTTTACAAAGGCAGCCTGTATCTTCAAACTGATGAAACCATCTACGGATGTTATTGTCACTTGGAGGATCACACCCGAACTTAATGCGGAACGCACGTTGCACAGTAACTACAGATTCAGTCTTTGCAAACTGCAAAACACAAAACGCTTTCTGTTCACTAGTCGCCATCTTTGCTACTACCGCTTTCTAGCGGATCGCGGTGTAAACATTTCACGCGCATGCGCACTGGTGCTAACGAATAAAACTGTTTGAGTTGCTCTTTCATGTGACATATCATTTATAACTGTAAGTTTAATGTAATTAATATTATAAAGCGTTAAAACCCCGATATTCATTTATGGACACCCGGTATGTTAGTTATTGACTAAAAACAATGTTTATGATAAATTCTCTCTTCTATAAAAATATGGTTTAGTATAGTGATTGTGATAGTATAGAATAGTGTTGAAGGACGAGTGTTGTGAAAGAGCTACTTAACAGACCTAGTGCTTTGTTGTTGGATAAGACCAGCTGTCTCTATAGCTATGGCCACCATTCATAAAAGTGGTAAAAACAAGAACATCTGGGTCCATCAGATTTTATTAAATACTGAAAGATACAAAATTAATATTGAATAAACAAAATTAAGAATACAACCCGTTATACACTAATAGCCTGGTATAATATAAATTTACTTTTATTTGGCTCTATTTAAAAATATATTTATTAATACTACTATAATGCACTTCTGTAATGACGTTTAACTTGTAAATTTGATCGGTAAGTTAATTCAAAATCGTAGGCGTACCTCTAGATCTTATGACATACCGTAGACCACTACAACAATTACTGGAGCTTATTTTACACAGTCTGATTAATTGTTAGTTGCCTCGAATAAGAGAGACTAAGTTTATTACAATACTGTTTGAATTTTTGTAAAGAGATTATATTTTCCCAACAACATTTAATGTATTAACACTTAAATTCCTTTGTTTGGCTAAAGTAAAGACACAATATTGTAATACATTGTTAACGTTTTAGATTTCCGTAATGAATTAATGTAGTAACTAGGTAAATCTTGTACCTATACAAGTACCGTGCCTTAACTTATTAACTTATTTAATTTTTTACTAACAATATGATTCAGAATTATTTTAGTAATAATACAGAAATAATAAGAAGAACCAATACAGTAGGCTACTGTAACACAGAACCAACAATAGTGTTAACAACTGCACGACGGATATAATAGGCCTTTCAAATCAAAGAATCAAATATTATAGCCTATCTGTAATTATTCGAATAAAAAAAACAATTTATCGCCTACGAAAATAGATATTTCATAAACTGTAAAAGATCCAAATGTACTATCTTTTCACAAACAAACAAACAACTATTAAATAAAACTATAATATGTTTTCCATGATAATAATACTCATAATAACAATAATAAACACATTTCTCAATATACATTTATTCTACATCGACTACATTGCTCAAACTCCTAATTATTCGTAGGATACGATATTATGGTACCGATACGAACGTAGGTACTACACTTTCGGCAACACTCGCCAAACAATATTCGTGCTTGGCTCCCATTGAACGGCATGCGAGGCTTCTGATTGGGAGTTAGCGAGTTCCGCCGAGGGACCAAGTTACGTACTAGAACTGAGTTCGCTAACCAGGCTATAGATCGGGTTAACGGGTTCCAGAGTTAGCCAATTCCAAAACCTAACAAGTTAGCGAGTTCCGCTTATCGACCAAATTTGAAGATAGGGCATTTAACATGTAGTTGGCGAGTTCCAGAGTTATCCAATTCCGCAGACCCGCGTATGTGTGCCGATGACCCCCTTTGGACACCCCTGCTTACTGAGAAAAATAGGATAGCAAATAATAACCTAATATTGATTCCAAACCATGTCATACTTAAGTATAAGTATTCAGTAGGGGGGCCTACAGGTTAACTTAAGTGTAAGAAAGGGACATGTGGCCCTAACTTTACTGTCAAAATAAATAATTTTTCATTTCATTTCATTTCAGTATCTTGCTGAGCAAATCACTTAATTTACGCATACACCAGTCATTGAACAGACATTGCTCAGATAATTTATACTTAACAGTGCCAGATATAGTTTACATGCATTAACTTGAGCGGCCCCCGTCCCTTAAGTGGAACTCCCCGGCGATCAAAGGACATCATCATCATCATCGCCACTCACAATTATGACAAATTTGGAATTTTAGAAAATAAAAAAATCTATATTTGTTTTAGACAATTGTTTTTTGGACAAAACGCTGTGGCCCCCTTTTACTTGCAGCCCTATTTGGCTTAGCAGTAAATCCGGCACTGATTTTAAACCTACAAAAACATAATGTTAATAAAGTTTAATGATTAACGAAAAAGTATCATTGTTTCAGTGGTATTCTCCTGCTTTTTTATGACACAAAACCCTTTACTTTTAATAATAATTGTAATTTAAATATTTAAATATTTATTATTTAAATATATGCTTACTAAGAACAATAGTATGGCTGGTGTTATGAATATTCCCAAGAAACTGCCAACCACTGAAATGAATATTGCAGCAGCTTCACTGCCACCAACTGCCTTGGTTAGGATAACAGCCGATGAAACGGGGGGTGGCATACAACTCACAGTTGCCAGTCTGTGAAAAAGAAAAGAATGAGTGAAACACACTTATCAAGCAACTGGTTTTGATATTAGTCAGGTCGCGGAGGTGGCTTCTATGTGCGCCCAATGGATCTACTGCAATATAGCATTTAGTCCCAATTTTATAAATACCAACTTGTTTGATTTAGAATTTTTGTAATGTTTTCCTTACGGTTATTAAAAACTATAAAATATTTGTTAATTTATAATTTTTATTTTAACAATGCCTTTTAGTGCTCTTGGAAAATCATACTTAGGGCCTATAATAAATTATAAGCTCCACACAATGAATTCTGTAGAACGTAACAAATATTTCCAAAACATTTTTTATTGTTTAGAAATATATGATGTTTATTGCAATATATAACATAAAATCAAGATAATTCCTAAACATTGCAAGTGACCATCGCATGCACAAAATTGAGTTTATACGACTTGTAAACTGAATACATTTAAATATTAATAATCATTGGAGCCATTTATAAGAGTTGGTCTTATTTTATTCTACTTAGTTTGTTGGGTTGATTCTCCTTAAAAGTAAGTTTTTTTTAATTAAAAACCTGGAGATATTGTGGTTTTTTATCGTAGCCTGCATAACAAATTAGGTATCCATCCATGTCTACTGATAAACCAAGACAGTTGAATGCATCTAGTCTGCTCAGAAGCTTTAGTCCATCACAAGGCTAACTATCCTATTCACACATTTCATCATAGTAGGCCTACAGGGTGTAGTGATTTAGAACAACCTTTCCAAATCTGACTTAACTTTTATTTAACCTGATATAACTCTAGCATAATTTACCAGACACACTAGCTCATTGTTAACCTCTTGCTAAAATATTTAGAAGATATGTGTGTAAGCGTAATACCGGTACTGTTATTTAATGTTAAGTAGGCTACTCACCCTTTCAATATCCACTCGTTGACACCAAAAACTCTCCGTAAAATACCATTGACAAATAGGACTAGAGTTGGAATGAATATAAAAGTAAATGTTAGAATAAAAATATGAACTTTCACTTTGGTGGCAGCAAAGAAAAGATCATTAAAACTTAAAGTCATTCCACTGATAAAAAATATCAAAGCAATAGCTCCATATTTCACTGTCCATTCTGGTTTCAGTGGTCCTGAAACGAGAATATTAATTATTAAAACAGGATTTATTAGGGTTAAGAACCATGTAATGTTCTATTGCTATTGCAATATCTACCAAATACTTCTAGGACAGATATAAGAGAAATAAGACAAATAACAACAACTAAGTTTTTATAGTAATACATATATTGTATTACTATAAATATATGATTGTTAAAATCATTTAAATATTAATAGAAACATAATTTTTCCATTCAGTTTATTCACAATCTATGTATTCAGTTAACTAATACTTCATGTTCCTATGGCTTCATTTACTCTCATTGTACGTTATTTATTCGTATACTTTGTTATATTGATGTAGGTACTTTGACTATTAATTAATAAATGTAGTACCGGTACCGTACCTAGTAATATGCATTCATTAGGGATTTTAATCATCTTCTCATTTGTTATCTATTGTGGTCCTGGTCCCAATGGACACAGTAATTAGAGATCACTGTACTTGATCTAAAAGGAATGTAAAGCAATAACACAAATTGAAATAATAAAACATTTCTAATGCTTGGTAACCACCAAAGCCTTGGGCAAGACAGAGTCTACGCTTATTCGTGTGCGCAGAATCCTGCCTCGAACATGCGTAATCGACGAACTACGATATAGGTACAACTTTAAATAATTATATTAAACGTGACTGGTAATGAAATAGAGTGTTATTGTGTTGCTCTACACCTTCCAGTGTTCGTATAGTCTCGGGATTCCTAATATCGGCTATCGCCAGATATTGTTCGTGGGGAATCGTGTACTAAATGTTTCGGTGGTTGGAGTACGAATGACAACCCGGGGCGCTTCTTGAGCGGTTCTTTCCTACCGCCCCTGGCGTTCAAATTCATATATATATGTGTCCGTTGTACCGATTCGTCGTATAAAACAACGAATTATCGTGTAGCAGACGCAACAAATAGTCAGCTGATCAGATACCCACAATTCTATCTAACCACACAAGTGGAAGGGGTAAGAACCCAGCCGCCAGCAACGAGTCTGTCTGTCTGTCCCGTGCCTTCCTTGTAGCTAGTCGGTAAAGTTTCGGATCGTGCAAATTAAATTCATTTCGCGGTGTTGGTCGGACAATCTTTATTTTCTAAAAATCGTTTAGCCTATATCCCGAAGGGATATAATTGCAACGCGAGTGGAAAATAGAAACAGTTTTTTTGCAAAACAAGTGTTAAAAGTTCGTTTTTACCGATCAACACAATCCGCCATTTGAAAATTTCACGTTCGTCACACGAGTTCAAATCGATCGCGTTTTTATCGGAAAACCGTCTAGTTACAATTCCCCATCCCTATCCCTGTATTGTTGTCATTGTTGTTAATTGTAATTGTGTTTTGTGTTATGTGTCATCGTTGTGATCTCCTGGCTGGGTCAAAAATGCTCCGAGGTGAAATGAGATGTCGGTTTGTCCTTGCGGCCGTCGCGGATAATTTTTTTCTGCTAGGGGGCATTTTGTACCGATTCGTCGGTACAAAATCGAATCGGTACACCGTTAACACGATAACTCTAGCAAAAATGATCCGATTTTGATGAATTTGGTATAAACGTGTAAACCTTACATTTATTCGAACAAATTCGCGAACCAGCTTGATCGGACCATGGGAACAGGGGTTTATGGGGGGTTTTATGGGGTAACAATTTTTTTTCTCATTTTTGGCCCTAAAAACATAAAATTTAGCAATTTCTTTCCAAATAATCTTGTAGAGCTTAAAAAAAACAAATAATTTAGCATATATTGAAGCGTTATTATGCGCCTAATGGCTACGGAGAAAATTAAAAAAATGTAAATTTCAAATTCCCTTGTTATTCTTATGGAAAATAGTAAACTGTTGTTGTTTGCTTGTAGGCTATTTTTATGTACCGGTATAAACATACTTTGATCAAATCTGGAAAATCCAATTATTTCTTACTGAACTATTAACATTTTACAAAAACACTTTTATACCCTCCCCGTTGCAGCAAACCTAGAGTACTCGTTAAACTAAATGCTATTTAAATAGGGAATAAATGTCATATTATTAACCCTAGACTGGCAGTCATTTTATTCACCAGTGAATAAAATATTATATTATATACCATACCATCTGACAAATTTTTTTCGTCATGTAGGAAATAATAGAATGCATCAACAGAAAATAAAATGATTCTGTAGGCTACAATAGGAAATAAAAGATCTTTTATCCAATAAGATCTTTCAGCCGATAATCGACCAGCGCCACTGAAAACTCGTGTTTTAGTGGTCAAAAATCGACCAGCGCCAGATAGAGTGATTAAGGAGACATTTTAGTGTAAATCCAATTAGGCAAATGGAAATTTGCTTAGTCCGCAGGTTTGCTGTGACGGGGATATTTAAATCATCACTTCTTTGCTGTTTGATCTAGCAATCTTGCAACTTAGGCTGTTATAGAGGGGGCCCAATAAGCTAGAGCACAGAAAACATACTACTATAACCCAGAATGCCAACCGCATGGTAAAAAGCGTTAAGTACTTTGAGAGAGCTGAGTGCATAGCAAAGCTGGTGGCGCTGCCTACGAATTGACAGGCAAAGCTCTCTCAAAGTACTTAACACTTTTTACCATGCTATTATCTAGCTCAGTGGTAAACTTAGACTGGTTGAGCCAAAGCGGAGAGCGGCAGGGGCAAAGAGAGTCAAATTACGGTCATTAAACAAATGTGTGGTTAAGATAGTTTTTCCTCAAATAAGTTAAGTTAGGTACAATAAATAGACTGCTTGTACGATAATTTACGCTAATCAATCTGGCAACACTGACAAGGTTCCTTGAAAAGTTCTTGAAATCTTACCTCCAGTGGCACCAATGGAAGGGACAATATCAGCCAAAACTATGGAAAAAAGTAGCCCAAACAAGAACCAATATTTCTTCAACAGATCAACAAATTTGGGCTTAGCCATCAAAGACTGCACTTATACTATCTGAAACAAAATTTGGGAGCTATGATTAGCCTGTTGAATATTTGTTTATTAATCAATTTGTAATGTGGTGCATCAGGATTTAGGTTATACAACTACTGAAGATAGCATTATAAATTTAGTCAGATAAAAAGATGTCATACCCATGCCTACCATTTAAACTTCACCAGGTTAGTTGTCCTTAGATTCGTTGACATAGCAGCTGAACAACCTTCAATTAAATAAATTAATCACGCTTCGCTTTCTTTTTGTTTATTGTTATCGTAGAACAGCTAGATTAGCTTTAGCTTTAGCTAGCTAGAAGGACTCGACTAGGTAGGTAGGAACAGAAACTTGGATTAGGATAGGACTGGAGCTGGAGCACTGGTGGACTGTTTTGTTTTGTTTTCTTTTTCTTTTGTTTGTAGATTTAGGTAGGAAATTATTAAAATCTTAGTTGAGAACGAGGGCAATACTCTTAACCATGAAGCTGCGTAGTTTACTTTTTCAAACTCACCCTTTAGGTTTTTTTATTGGTAACCTTTTAGTCCCATAAAGTCTAAAAAAAACTCCCCCATATAAATGCTTTAAAACAAAAGAATCAAGAATTTTTATTTCCACAATATGCAGGGTTACATTACTGGAAACGTCAATACAACTAAAGCTAAAATAAAAACTAAAATAAGAGAATAGTACAAGGTAATGTAAAATAAATTCCTGAAACTCTCCATGCAGTGAAAAAGAAAATAGAACACAACACTCGGTTAAAATCTAAGAAAAAACTACTTACATATTCCTCTTTCAGATACAATTTTTTTTTTAGTTTGTACAAAGCGTTTGCCAAAAGGAGCCCCTCAACCCCCTTTCTGAAATTTTAGTCTGGCAGGTTCCGAGCTACAAAAGGAAGTTTATTTAAAAACTTATAACTAAGGATATCATTCGACTTCTGAACTTTACTTCCTAACATGTGGTAAATTGAGAAAATCTTTCCTACGTGTATTATAGGGATGGATGTCGCCTATAAAGATGTAAGCCTAGAAGTTTGACAGATTTCACCCTATGTTCTAAGTTTCTTAGGCTAATGATTATTGACTTAGTCTTTGTTTCATGTAGAAAAAGTGATTTGCTCGGAACGAGGCCGATGCCCCCTCATGGTAGTCTATTGAACATCTTCAAGAGATTTATTACGGGTTAATAAACTAATTAATCTCTTTAATGTCTCTCTTGAATCTTAATCTTGAGTCAGGTGGGGGAAACAGTCTTTTTTGTTGAGTCTGCATAGTACGGGAGGTTTAATCTGATTCCATGTCGAAGATTCAGGCCATGCATCTCCACTCTTGTACAAAAGGTGCTTATGTTTGTCTTGACGTGTAATAGGTTTATGAAAATATAATTGCTGTACGCTGTGATGATTCCCAGTTGCCGAAAGATTGGCCTACAGTGGTCTAGATAGTCGGCTGACGAGACTATCCTAACAGCCTTTTTCTGAAGAAGCAGGATGGCATCACAACTAGACACCAGGCCCCTATATGGCCCCACATGACCTTCTATACAGTGGCGTCATTTCACTAAATCCTTGGGGGGGGGCAAACACTGGGGGGTACGGAATACCCCCCAGCAAACGGTGGGGGGGGGGTCCGGGGGTCCTCTCCCGGAAAATGTTGTAGTTTTGAAACAAAAAAGAGAGGTTTAAGCCTATTTTAATTGTCAAAAGGACTTCGAATGAAAACAAAATTATGAGTAAAATTTATTTAAATTCAGGCAGAAAATTAATGAAACCAACAATTATTGACAACAGACAGAAACATAATAATATTTTGGCAAGTTAGTCATCTAGTGAAACGTGATCAATAGTTTCATGTCCATGGTGTATTAATATTATTTTTGTTATTAGATTTATGACCAAATTCTCTTGTACAATATTTAGACCTATAGCAATGAATACGGTTGTATTCATAGCCTATATAGTTTATAAAAGTTTAATTTGGTTTTTAAATAAAACACAAGTATTTAATTACCTAAAGCAATTAAAATTTTATTATCAATTAAATAATTTGACACAATTAATTTGAATGTGCTACTGAGACACTAAAAAATGATATTTTTGTCTCAAATTACTATAGGAGAATGGGCAAGATTTATGTCTACCGTGCATTTTAGGATTTTGACAGGAGAAAATATTTGTATATTAGCTAATACAATATATTTTTTCTCTAGCCCACGAACCAGGGGGCAACCAACCCCCAAATGACGCCCATGCTTCTATATAGTATAGTTCACTGGGCAGAACAATAAAATTGGCTTCCGCTTTTCCATTAGGATGAGAAATCGACTAAGGTGTATTTTTAATCTATAATCTATAGTATTACATACTTAACTAATAATACTGCACTAAAAACACATTTTAATACCTTCCCTGTAGCAGAAAACCTAAGTACTCATTTAACCTAAATTAAATTATATAAAAAAAATGGAATTAATCAGACATGTTAAAGGGAAATACTTTATTGAAAAGCAAATCAGGGAAATGGAAATGCGTTTGGTAGGTTTGCTACGGCAGGGATATTTATAGTCGTTATAGTATCTATTATTCTAAACCCTGTGGAAAAACTAATTATCGGCGCTTATTATTAGATATACGTCATTATCTGAAATTTTTAGGTGTTATGGTATTAGATACTATAAGAAGATTCTAGTTTAAAAGCTATGCTGCAAGAAATGTATATAGCAAATATATAGCCTTATTTTTGTACTCTATGGACGTTTATTTGTTGTTCTTGTTCATTTAGCTATTGCTTTTTTTACTGTTTTTCAGGGGGGTTTAGACTTTTTTCAGTTTTTTCCTACTTTACTTTTTTTTTATTGCTATTGCTCCACTGCACTAAAAACACATTTTAATACCTTCCCTGTAGCAGAAAACCTAAGTACTCATTTAACCTAAATTAAATTATATAAAAAAATGGAATTAATCAGACATGTTAAAGGGAAATATTTTATTAAAAAGCAAATCAGGGAAATGGAAATGCGTTTGGTAGGTTTGCTACGGCAGGGATATTTATAGTCGTTATAGTATCTATTATTCTAAACCCTGTGGAAAAACTAATTATCGGCGCTTATTATTAGATATACGTCATTATCTGAAATTTTTAGGTGTTATGGTATTAGATACTATAAGAAGATTCTAGTTTAAAAGCTATGCTGCAAGAAATGTATATAGCAAATATATAGCCTTATTTTTGTACTCTATGGACGTTTATATGTTGTTCTTGTTCATTTAGCTATTGCTTTTTTTACTGTTTTTCAGGGGGGTTTAGACTTTTTTCAGTTTTTTCCTACTTTACTTTTTTTTTATTGCTATTGCTGTATTTTGGGAGGTTGTAGCGTAGCAGCTATAGTTTTTGTTTTTAGTTCAACTTTGTTATTATGTTTATTATTGTTGTATTTTGAACATAAAATTAGGCTAAATCGGGGTTTGAACACGATTTAATTCGTATATTGTATCTGCATACAACTAAACCTAAATTTCTCATATTCAAGTACAAAGGAATGATGGCTATGTTTATTTTCATCAACGAGCTTAGGCCCATACCTTGGAAGATTTTACAAATCTGTTTCAAAATATAATTGGTTGATTTTATAGATAAACTATCGACACATAATGGACGATTTCCTATTTTGCAGTAGGTCCTAACTTAAAGAATAACAGTACACTGTAATACAAGAGAAAATGACAGTAACATTTAATGTATGTCTTGTGTTCATCATGGCCTTTGCCTTTTCAAGTTGTCAAGAACATGTTGGCTACGATTCAACCAGTTATAAAATGATCCATGGTGCATCAGGATCAATGGACTCCAAATCCAATTCTACAGGAAAAAGCAGTAGCAACTCTATACTACTTAAATTGGCCAGAAAGTTTGCAACCCGTTTGAAGGATTTGGCAGATGAAGAGTTGGGTGTTAGGATCATCAAGGTAGGCTTATAGTAGTTTATTGTAATGAAGGGAGGTTTCTAACTTAATGCACGAAGTTGTCCTACATTATCTTAGGTTACTTGAATGCAGTTGAGAGTTGATTAGGCCTACCTACCTATTCAAAACTAGGCCTAACTTATTAGGCCTAGGGATTGACACGTTCAGTGCGGTTGCGCGATGGCCAGCCGCGGCTGGTGGCGGGAACAGCTAATGTGCTATGTGGTTGAACATAAAACATGCGGTGAATGTGGTGTGCGAAAACATTAAAATTTTGTTTTCTTCATAAGTTACTGAGAGTCGTACCCTATTGTAGCATGTACCGTACTGCGTTACAGTCGTGAACGTAGGCTAGTATTATTCTAACTCAAAAGATAGCAGCTTTAAACAAAACTCCTTAAAGGCCCTCAATATTGCCAAATGGAGGGAAAAGAATTGTCGGATCCAAAAAGAATTATAATGGATTGAATGATAAAACTAGCACAATAAGCACCACTCAAAACAAAATCTCACGGCAATGGCTTTGAACCTCTCACTATCAGCTTTAAAGATGGAGGGCTACTTACGTAGTTTAACTTAGGCCGCCGGGCACGCCAGTCACGCACTAGGTACGTTAAATAACGTAGGCCGCACTCAACGTGTTAAGGGGGTTCGGTTAAAAGATTTTTAGGATAGTGGTCCATTGATGGGTTTTTTTGTGTAAAAATAAGGCAAAATTAAGGGTTTGCCGACTAACTTTGCCAAATTTTTACACAAAAACGTTATATTTCAGTTACTTTTTGTCCGATCTTTTTTATTTTGGTAATGTTTGATAGGGAATTAAAATTTCTAAGAAAAAGTATTCTAGAATTTTTTTCATAGAACCAACTTAGCTGTTTTTGAGCTATTTAAGTTAGAAAAATTCAAATGGCCGCCATTTTGAAATTTACAATTGGAACAACTTTATTAGGCCTACTTTTTTCTATTATAGGTCTTGTGTATTTTAACATGGTCACCAAATTTTATAATCATCGAACAAAAAACTTCACAGATAGGTAGGCCTACCTAAAAATATTTTTGTATAAAAAAACAAAATGGCGGAGAACTGGGTAAAAATATGCATTTTCAGACATACGTTCAGATCAACTTTTTTCTTCCTTTTAGTATGAGGATTCATTTCCCAAAGTTCTGAAACGTTTTTTATGGACACTCTGTATAATTAAACTCTAACAATCAACATAATTCAACTGAAGAGCTAGATCGCTAGATCACTTACACTTTCAAACTCGCAGGTGACGAATCATCAACATAGGACAGGTTCAGGGTAGCCAACATACGTCCAATAAGGAACAACATTTCTTGCAAACGAAATTCCAACAAACTAGGCCTATACCACCAATTGATTATTGATATCTTAAAATAATGCGTTTTTAGCCTAAGATTTTTAATCAAAGTTAAATGCAAGTTGAAGAAACATCAAGTTTAGCCTATTTGTCAAAGTCAAAGAAATTTCAATCTTATGGATTTTCGCAAATATTTAAATTTTATTTTGTTTAAAAATATATTTTTCTTGTATCTCTGACTTCCCAACTGTCCCAACTCGTGGCAAGGAAATTCCCAACTTTTCTCTTTATCAGATTGTGGGTTGGGAAGCCCCCCCCCCCCTACACTATGGTGACGTCCCTGCTTATTCAGCATAATTTTGGACAACATCTGATACACTTGCATTTGGAATCCACCAATAGCTCATTCTCTAAATATTTCTGTCAAAAAGTCCGATGTTTGACATCGGGTTAAACATCGATTGTCAATAGGACTACTCCCCTACATCTATGCAAAGAATGAATATAATCCAAAAATGTTTTGGTTATTTTCCATTGGTCCACTTCTAGGCTACTGCACTATTGTTATTGTAGGCCTATTGATCCAACATAATTTTAATGTCATCACTATTAATAGATTAATATATAACTTACCTATGCAAAAACAGGCCATTTGTAAACAAAAGGCATCCAACCTATAAGATTATGTACTGGTCCTAAGACCTCAAAATGGTATTGGAGCTTGACGAGACCCTCGATTGTTAGAGATCCTAAGAATCTATTTTAACCTAAACTAGCCTAACTCAAAATTTATTGTATTAATGGAATTAAAGTAGGTGTAGTCAAAAATATATTGGTGGTCTATTTAGACAAAAGAACTTTATTTAAGAACATTTTTTTAAAGAATATCGAACAATTTCTAAAAAATTAAATTATTGACATTTACAGTAGACCCCCTTAAACGAGACCTTGTACTAACCAATGATCGCATTATCTGTCCTCGCTCATAAAATATTACAGTTTACACGCAACATTCTAGGAATCGCAGCATTTCCGCTCCCACGCTCGGCGTTGGGAACAATACGCTAGACTGCAGGATGTTACAGTACAGTATTTAAATAAACATCCTGTCTCTTAACAAAATGATTGCTTGTATCTTTCATTTTGACAAAGTGCATTAGTGAATGTTAGTGTGTGTTACAATAGATTTGGAATTCAATTAATATTACTAACGAAGAGGTTTCATTGACTCTTGCCTACAACTGTAATTTATTCCACTTAATACAATGATTTTACCCTGTTTTGGGTTTATTTGTAACTTTTCTGTCACCAATACTTAAGGGTCTCAGCCATGATCTGACAGGGTTTCTCCTCTCCCTCCTGGATGCTTGAATAAGTAGGATTTCTTAGGGTTGTTATATTCAAGATAAGTAACACAAACAATGTGTGTGTTTAACATTTTATACCAAATGCCGGAATGTTTTTTTGTCTCGCCCACTTGGCATCCACGGTGTTTTTGTTGTTGTTATTTCCCCCTCTTTTCTCCACTTTGTTATTCACACTTCAAGTTTTCCACTTTGTGTAACCAGTGAAAAACTGTGTTTCGTGTTTAACCTTTCCAGTTAACTAATTATTGAAGAAGAATTACAGTAGACTCCCTCTTATCCGGACTTCTCGGGACCGAGGCCAGTCCAGATAACGGTTTTTCCAGTTGAACCGACATCCCCAAAGGCTCGTTAAAACGGAATGTTTCAATGCATATTGTATACTGTATTTGACTTAAATTTAGAAGAGCGTTGTATTTAGACGTGTGATACCTAGTCTCAAATCTTTCGCACGAGAACAGTCGTTCCAGTATTGCCCACTTCCTGCCGATCTAGTCTGGTTAAACCGATGTGCTGATAAAAATTGTCCGGTTCAAGAGATGTAATTTCTGCCAAGTGTAGTCCGGCTAAACCGATGTCCGGTTAAAAGGTGTCCGGATAAGAGGGAGTCTACTGTATAGAAATTATAGGTACTGTATGTTGATTACCAAAACAGAAAAAATACCTTTGTATATTTATCGAGAAATTACTTATTACCATCCTGTTTTTTTTATAACTTTAATAAAAGTGTATAATTATTTGATAACAGTAATTTACGTTATTGAATAGCTGGTCGATTCAATTTATGCAAACTGATTCCTCTACAATTAATGAAGGCATAGGCCTAAGTCTGGCCTTAATTGACACTAAAAACTCTTTTTAAAATAATTTCAGGTTCTCATGCTCCTATTACATTTCAATGATTTTTCAGGATGTTGTCGACTCATTAGAATACAGTACAAGCAACAACGAAGATGGAGAAATTACCAAAATGGTAAGCCATCCTACCATAAAAAATTATTTACTTTGCTTCAAGATTAAGGAGATTGGGTGCTGGTCCCCACGTTTGGAGCACTTGCAGTAGGCCTACTTTTTAACACATTTGATTTAACTTACTCTCTTTTATAAAGCAGCTGTGTATAATGAAATGAATTCTCTGTCAGTATTATAATTTTGATTTGATAATATTGTAAAAACACAATTATTGAATATTGGGTAGTAAGAGATTTGTTTGAAAAGATAACTGCTTATTTAAGTCAAAGAGGTTTGTTTTATTAAATGACACTATCTTATGTTCTTGGATATATAAAATATCTAATAAAAATAATATTGCTTTTAAACTGCAATCTAGACATTGGATAAGCCATAATATAATTTTTTTCTAGCTGAGCAACAGACTGGAAGCAAAATTAAATGAAAACTTAAGGGTGCTCAATCGAACTGTATCAGCCATTCAAGGTTTTAAACTGCACTCAAAGAAATGTTGTTATGTTAGCGTGCCTTGTCTCTACATATGTGAGAATGGGTAAGTTTGGTTAAATTAAATTAATTTGGCTAGAATTATTTAATTTAGCTAACAGGTGAAATCTAACAATTACTTGTTAAGCAAACTAAGAATTAAACTCTTGCTGAATAGCAGAGATAAACCCTCAAATTTACTGAATACACGTGTCTTGTACAGTGGTGCATTCGAAAGTTTCAATTTTTATTTCAAACCCTTTATTATCATAATATACTTATCTATTTAATTGTTTTTAATATTTCAAATTGTTTACTAAAACTTTCTTTAATACTTTCGTATTAAATGGTAACCATACAAAGTAGGTATTTTAAGCCAAGTGTATATGGAGATGAGTGTAGCATGATCCCCTGGTGTTAGAATTATCCAAGATCCACTGTGGTTAGTCCAGTTATGGGTTTTCTTCCAATCTACTAGTCACATGTAGGCCCTAACAGTCTTTTTCCAATTAATTTAAAACATTCAACTAGGTTTAAGATGTTGTAATCTACTACCTAAACTTACTAATTCATTACAATTTTCAGGTCATTTGAAGAATCTTACAGCAATGCCTCATTGGACTTCAGTAACCTTCCTTTTTCCATTTTAAATCTTACAGAAGGTATGTCTTAGATTTTGTTCAAGTTGTATACAATTACATTTACTACATGGATTTTGTTTTCAGTTATAACTAATATTTTTGTTTTAGTTTGTAGTTCCACTTTTTTAGCGAATTTCCCTATAGGAAAGTAGCTATTACCGTAGGTGGCATGGTAAGAACTAGGTCCGGGACCGATTTACTTTTTCATTTTGATGTCCCCAGAGGCCAAAAACACCATTCGTTCAAATTTTTATATATGTGTATATATATATATATATATATATATATATATATATATGTGTGTGTGTGTCCGTGAACGCGATAACTTGAGTAATTTTTGTCCGATTTTGATGAAATTTGGTTTAAAGGTGTAAAGCGGGATAAACTTGAATGAGTTTGCAAACCAGCATGATCGGACCATGGGAACACGGTTTTACGGGGGGTTTTATGGGGTAAAAATTGGTTTTTCTCACTTTTGACCCTCAAAACACAAAATTTCCCAATTTCTCTTTAGACCTTTTTAAAGAGCTTAAAAAACAAATAATTTAGTATATAAAAGTATTTTTGTTCGGTTATTGGTAACGGAGAAAATTAAAAAAAATTGTAAATTTAAAATTCCCATGTTATTCTTATGGAGAATATTGTAAAATGTTGTAGTTTGCTTGTTTATGGATATATTTTGATCAAACTTGGCAAATTAATTTATTTTACACTAAGCTATTAATATTTGACTAAAAAACACACTTTATTAGTTTCCTTGTAGCAGCAAACCTAGGTACTCGTTAAACCTTAATGTTATTTAAATATATTTAATGAAAATCAATTTAGACAAATCGAAATTCGCTTAGTCGGCAGGTTTGCTGCGGCGGGGGTATTTAAAATTCGTACAGACCTTTTATTTATATATATATTTTTAAAAGTTAAAAAGCCAGCCCAATAAAAAGTGTAGCCTCTTGTTGTTTCTATGAAAAGTACTTTATTAGAAAAATGAAAACAAAATAAAATCAATGAATTTTTACTGTCACACCGATTGTTAAAACAGCATTCTATCTTTCTATTATTTTGATGAGTATTATTCAAATGTTTTCATTTATTTAACCGAAAACAAATTTTTTTCAGAATATTGACAATGGTAGGCCTACAATACAATTGTTGAATCTGGTATGGGGTGAGGATGTCTAAATGAATACTCGGGCATGAACTAACGGTTCGCTTATTATCGGATTTTTAAGAATAATAAAGCACAAACACACTGATATAAATATCACAAACATACTGATATAACAGAGAAATCAAATCCCCATCAACTAATTAATACGTTAGAGGGTTAATCAAGGATTGGGCCATTTATGCAAGTTCAAAGCCTATCACCACATACCTGCTATTAGTAACAGCGGGAGAGACATCTCCATGATGTTATCTGAAGCTTCTCTGACTCTAGACTCGGCGGTTTGCAAAAACCACCTTATCTATCCTCAGAGTGGCTGGAGAGCTATGCCGTTAAATCTTGTTTCCAGAATTATCTCGAACCTTAAATGGTTCTGGGATAATCTTGCAATCCTCAAAATATAAAACTGTTACTTTAACTTTTTGCTGAACTCCCTTCCTAAAATATAAAACTAGGGTATTGCCTTACACAACACAATGAATGGTGAATAGATAACATTAGTGAAATTGACTGACTTGTTATTCTAGCTACTATTTACACAGCACAGTTACACAATATAGGCCCGTTGTCCAAGAACGCGTCTGTTGCGTCTGACGCTGAGTAATAGACGCTAGCGATGGACGCTCAGTGACTGCTAAGCATTGATTTCAATGGGCCCGTTGTCCAAGGGAGCGTCTCTAGTGTCTGACGCTTGAGACGCTGAGCGTCTGACGCGGGGCACTGCTCCGGGAGCAGACGGGATCGCTGACGGCCAGCGTCTATTGCGTCTATTGCATTGTTGTTTCTGTGTTCTCCCGTATACTCCATAATATACAGTATCTTAATGTAATGGCTATAGTCAAAGAAATATAGAATATGACCTAAAAAGATTGCAAGATAATGTTTTAGGGTTTTATTTTGTAGTGTTGAGTCTGCTGATTGATATACTAAAGGTTGCCAAAAATCGGTCCATGAGAAACCCCCTAAAATCATTATAAAAAATTGTGGCTTTTCCCAACATTGGAAAAATAATAAAAAATGATTCCACTTGCATCTTTTATGCACATTTTCGAGATGTTGACTTAAGATCACCACCAGTATTTATTGGGTGGTTAGTACTTCATTTCGATAGGAAACACGTTTATGGCCACCATCTTGGATCCGCCATATTGGATATACATATTGTTTTTATGTAATGATAGTTTTGTGACACATAATTTACAAAACTAGATTTTCATGCAAATTTTAATGCGGGAATCCGTTTTTATTTATTTTTTGTTTTAAAGAAATTCAAACGAAAACTCTTCCCCATACATTTCTTATAGACGTTTCGTACTTTAATCATTTTTTTAAATATCTCCAGTTCTTATTAACGTTTGCAGTTCGTTTCAACCTTAAAATATTCAGTAATGTAAGGGCTTCCATTTGAGTTAGAGACCCGCTACGAACAAAAACACAAAATTAAATCAAAATTAAATTAAAGTTATAGTCTAAAATAGTTCACCAAAGTATTGACTTTAATTTTAGCTATGGATTACATATTGGGAGTTATTTAGAATAGGAGATATCTGTATTTAAGTAAAGAAAAATTTCAAAATAATAATAAATTAGTGTTAAATTAAATTATTACAACTTAAACTTTAAAGGATTTAACGGAACTTAAACTGTTGCCATTAAAAGTAAAAAAAAATCAATTAATGCACTCTTGTCTGCATTAAAGTGGTTTTTGATAGGTATTCTAAAATATCCTTCCTCACTTCTCTTTTTGAAAACACTGTGGGTACACAATCGAGGTTCACTAAAGGTCCAGAATTTCCTCGTTTTCTATATCTTCGATGAATAGGATCTTCAACACTTGGCTCTTAACGCTAATAGTGAGAGCAAAATAAATTTTTACACAGTCAGCAACCAACTGTTGAACTGAATAGACGCGTTCTTGGACAACAGGCCTCCAAGCGATCGACGCTCAGCGATCATCGCTCTGCGTCAGACGCAACAGACGCGCCTTGGACAATGCAGCTTATGACATCAAATAGGTACATTGAATCAACTAGAGAATATATAAAGATTAATACTTTACGAACACGAATGGACTAGTTTCACAAAGATAAAGTGAACAAGACGTTGCAGCAGTGAATGGAACTGACAGTGACTTAGTAGCTATTGTATGACAGTTTTGAAGTCACACAAATAGAAATCTGGCATCTTTCTTGAATCTTGAAGCCCCAATGGAGAAGATATCAACTTCCAGTGGAAGGATGCTTTGGGCTTCAATTGACACCAACACATGTATTGTAATCTTAAGAGCTTAAACGTTATTTTATTTTAGCCCTAGTAAGGCAGTGAGTTTTGATTAAGTCGAAAGGTAATGTGTGGCTTATGTCTAGGGGAGCGAGCTGGTGTAGTAGTTAGAGCGCGGGACTTCAGTCCCTGAGGTCCCGGGTTCAAATCCCGCCAAGTCACCAATGGATTTTGTCTAAGGAATAATGCTGCAACCCCTAGGTATAGCCTGAAGTAATGTGAAAAACAATCCCAGGCTCGTGCCTAGCATCCTACGACAAAAAAAATGGTAATGTGTTATGTTACAGTGTTTGCTGAGGCAGGAGCTGGATCTAGAAGTGTGAAATACTTCATATCCCAGCTAGAACCTGAAGGTGTAACTCATGTGTACAGTGATAACCTGGTCAGAGACAAGTGTTCCACCATGGATGATCCCCACTTTCAGTCAGTACAACTTACCAGTCATCACTTACTGCTTAGTAACCTATTAACATGCTTCACTACAGAGTTTCTTACTTTGCAACACTTACTTTGTAACAGCTATTGCTGTGGTATTGACATGTTAAGTCATCATTTTGATTGGGCAAGAATGGGCTCATATATGTTAGTTTGATAGAAAACATTGAATAATGAGTCACAGTGTTAGTTCCTCAAATTTATTTTATTTAAAGTAGTATAAGTCTTCTTTAACTCTATAAATAGGGTTAGTAAAAAGTCTGGAGTCCCCCTGTTAATTTTTTAACGGCCCATACTGGAAAAACTAAACTTGGCACACCTTTATGGCATGTTATGAATTACTTTTTAAGCATAATCGCAACTTGGTGTACATCCCCAAAATGGGGGATTTTGGGGGAAACTCAAAGATTTTAAATGGTAAGACCTATCGAGCGACCCCTCATTTTGAAAGTCCTGGTAAAAAGAAACTAACAACGCAAACTAGAGGTCTCTATCTCAATCCAGTACAAAATGACAGCTGATTGAAATCTTTAGAAATCAGAATTAACTTGCAATTTTATATTTAATTGGCTGCCAAATTTACTGTGTTAACATAGGAACTCTAGTTTGCATTTTTAGTTTTCTTTTATCACGACCTTCAAAATGAGGGGTCATTCAATGTGGCTTAACTTTCAAAATTTTTTAGTTTTTGGGAACCAATTAGCAATTAGGCTCAAAAACTACTTCATAACATGCCATAAAGATGTGTATCGTTTAGTTTTCCTAGTGTAAGCCGTTACAAAATGTTCAGGGGGTCTCCAGACTTGGAAAGCTGTAAGTTAAATTTAACTTCTAAGAATTTCAATTGGCTGCCACTTGTTACTGGAGTGAGATAGAGACGTCTAGTTTGCGTTGTTGTTTTTCTTTTACTAGGACCTCCAAAATGAGGGGTCACTCGATGGGTCTTACCATATGACATTTTTGAGTTTACCTCAAAATCCCCAATTTTGGGAATGTACACCAAGTGGCAGTTATGCCCAAAAAGTACTTCATAACATGCCATAAACATGTGCCGAGTTTAGTTTTCCTAGTATGGGCCATTAAAAAATTAACAGGGGATCTCCAGACTTTTTACTAACCCTGTATAGTGTTTTTGTAGATTGATGGATTGTTTCTTTGATTAGACCTTAAAAATGTATTAATTCTCTGTGTTATTGATTTCAGTTTTAGTTTATGATTATCTCTTGTTTTCAGGAGGGTGTTTTTGAAGACAGTCTTGACCAAACCAAAACACATGGTTCTACTTATTGACAATGGAGGTTCACTTAGTGAAAACCAGTTTACAATCGCAAAATCTTTAGGTAAAATACATTTAGACTGGAAATATTCCCTTGTTTGTTAAATGCTCCGATATTTGATTGTTAACACATTTTTCTGTTGTGCCTGTGTTGGCCTGTTAATCTCAGGATTTCAATCTGCTGTTAGCAGTGCTTGAAGTTGGACTTATAATATAAAATTAAATCTCAGCCACTAACAGAGTGTCCATACTGTTCTGCTCTGTGTTTGTAAGTTTCTAGACGTAGTCCAACAAAACAGTGTTAGAAAGCAGTGAGGGCCATAGATAAGTTAAAATCAGTTCTTAGTAGTGCCTATTGCCAAATGTAACGGCAGGAATCTGACAAGAACATAGAATAAAGCCTCTGTTAAAATTAACTCATGTTCTTCAAAGACATTTGTACCCGGGTATTGGAAATTATGACAATCTCATGGTCTAAAACTTATGCATATGTAAGAGAGAATGAAAAATTCGGAATTTGAAAAAGAGTCAAAATATTTCTGAATGCTTTTATAAAAACAAATATTTCTTACTGTTACTTGTTGGCAGCATTCAAATCTAAAATGCTGGCCGAAGTTAGTAAACATGTCAAACGTGTAATTTATACCTTTAACCATCTTCATCAAGAATGTTCACATGTGAGGATAAATTATTAACCGAATAGCTTTCCACATGTTCCATCAATGTGGCATTGTTAAAAACCAAGTGTACCCTGGCATTAAAATCCTTGCTACTTTGTGAGCCATATGATTTATGACATAATTAACCTTTGTAGCTTATTTTTGTTTTGATCTGACAACTTAGGTCGTTGTATGAATTTTTGGGCAGTTATGATACTTGAGTTTGTGTTTAGACTGTTGTATAGTTTATAGTTTTGTTGTTACAGCCAGCCTCATAGTGTTGTCGTTGTCAGAGGAAGACAGCATCAGTGTTCTTGCAGTGTCAGACTCAGTGTCTACTCCTTGTCCTGGACCTATGCACCTTGCTACCCACTCTATCAAGCATCAACTGCTCACATTCATTGAAGATCTCTCCAAGTCAAAAGGTAATGGAATAAAATAATTCATCATTCTACTTCGAGTGATTATGCCCTCACCCAAAAATAGCAGCTTGCCTACCTGCTGTCACAGGGCGGCAGTTCCAATCTCAAAAATAAATACACAAATTAATTTGTCCACTCTAACACATGTGACATTTTATCAGTTTATCGGCTAGTTTAAATGATTATTATTTCTCTAAATGTTTTACTTTGTGTTACAGGATCAACTAATCACTCGTTGGCCTTCAGTACGGCTTTCAAGTCCATCGAGGAGTCCATTGTAGCAAAGGAAGACCAAGCGACAGTGCTGATTGTGTATGTCAGTCGGGGTCTCATGTCATCAATAACCGAAGCCAAAACTGTGATGGAGGTCATCAGCAAAGGTCAAGATAAGATCGCCCCTTCAGTCGTCATCAACACTTGTGTCCTCATTGATGGTAGGACTCAGCAGGAATTTGTGTTGAATAATTTGGTTTAAAGAGCTATTTAAACTTATGTCGGACAGTTTTTGAGTTTAAATATTTGAAATATGGATTTGTTGTTTTTAAAATTTGATTTGATAAACCTTTTACTGGGTTTTATCCTTTTCTATCACAAATTTTAGTCACATATGATTACGAGGTGAATTTTTCTGAAAATATGAGCATATTATTTTGAAATTCCAATAATTTTATGATTTTTATCAGTTTTGGCTTTTCAGACAGTAATCGATCAGATACTCTTTTAGATGAATGGACTAAATTCTTTATGAACTAAATGGTTGTTACTTTTTGGGCTTTTTAATTTCTCGTGAGTGTGGAATTTGTAAAACCTACTTAACCTAGGTACTTAAAAATCAACTCAACCAGAGTTTGGTAAGAAACTGATATTTGTCATTGTATTTTAAAGATGGCAAGACAATCCTGTACGAGAAGCACTTCCTGAGTGTGGTTGCTCAACAGAATTTCAGCATGTACAACATCTCCAATGCCAAGTTCCAAGCAGGAGGGATTGTCCAAGGGACTACTGTGTCAGCCAACTCCAGTTCCTACTTAGGAGCTGTGGTCAGAGCTGTATGTTCATCCCCTCATACCCCTGTCAACTCTAAACCAGTCTACTTCTTGCCTGTCTGGGACGTTGCCAAGAAAGGTAATTAACAAACTATGGCTCTTGAATATATTTATATTTATGTATACCACTTGGGAAGATTCGTTACAATACTGGGTTATACAGGATTTGGAATATCAACCACAAGAATGAATTAAAACCAAGAAAATTAATTCAAAAATTACTTTCAAATATAAAAAAAATTATTTACTGACACAAAAATATTGATTGCTTACAGCATTAGCTGGTGTCTTGTCAATTCATTTTAATCGTCTCAATATAATAACATGGTTACAAAATATTTGATTAAACAACAAATACATGCAACTATAATGGTCAACAAATACCTAAATTAATACAAGTAAACAAATTGTATTATTTGATTTTATGTCATTTTTAATGTAGTAAGTACTGTACTATGTCCATCTTCTTGTCGCAGGAGAGCTGATGATAAGCATAGCGCAGTGTGTCAGACATTCTGACGGAACTCTTCTTGGAGTTGTGGGTGTTGACTTCCCTTGGGTGGATTTGATTGAAGACTTTTTATACTACAATGACCATGGGAATTCTTACGCTTTTCTAGTTGATATCAAAGGTGGGTAAAAACTAGCGATGGGTCGGTACCACTTTTTCAACCGATTCCAGTACTGGTTCCTAACCAAAATCGTTTCCCGGTTCCGGTACCATCGGTACCTAATTTAAAATTAGGGCTACTTAATTGTTTTATTTTAAAAACAAAATATCCCTATTCCAATTTTTAAAACTGATTATTTTTCATTGGAAGTGTAGTTTGGTTATATTAAGGAATTAAGAAAACTCAGACCTATTTGTACAAAAAACAGTTTGACAACCAAACACATTCAAATAATAATAATATATACTATACCAGAAGTGTTAAATATAGGCCTATTTGTTGAAATGATTCACTGTTAAACCAATAAATTTAACTAAACTGGAATGAAAAGGGGCTCTGGAAATTTGTTAAATTAAGTTCTAGCCTGTTAAGTTCTAGCTTGTTAAGTTCTAGCTAAATATTTAGAAGGAAGTAATTTTGAGTCATTTTGTACGGTACCCATAGCCTGCATTAGGTTAATTTTAGGCTTCATTATTAAGGTAAATTTAACATAAAAGTATTTATGGAAAGGACGTTTTGAACAAATGTGACGTAATTTTCCTGGCGGACGACAAGAGGGAAATTACGCCACCGGTAAGAAAACGAGATCCCAGGATTCGCCCTAGTCTGGTCGCGGGGAGTTTCCCAGGAGTCGATAGTGATTCGGATAGCCTAACTTTGATAGCCCCGGTTGTCAGAGCTCGAGACGAACGTGGCGGGTTACTAACCACCCAACTAGAAATCACCACTCTAGCCTAGGGCTTGTGGGCAAAATAATAATTTTGACTTGACTCCGTGGGCAAATATCTAAATGACACACTACTAGCTAACTTAACAAATCAACAAGTAAGCTAAGTAGTCACTCCGCTTACCTACGGAGTTACGTCGTCGACCTGAAACAAACAAGGTTAGTACAAGATAGGCCTAACCTAGCCTAACTCCCACAGAGTCTGAATTTACTAAACAAGAAAACGAGTTGGCTTAAGTTGCCCAAGTGAGACACGAAACGAGAGAAAAAAAAACTGAAACTAAAAATAAAACTGCTTCAGGAGCTGATACGAAAAAAGAAAAACTAAAACTTCAACTTCCCCACGTGTTCAACTTAAGCAAACTTCTGCAATAATTATCAAGCAGAAACCTGTCTGCTGGGGCCAACTTCGGGGCGTTCGGGAACTTTACAAAGGGGTTTAAGAATTTAAAAAGAAAGTCCCAGATATGGATTACGAAACGTTAATCGAAATGATCTGTCACCAACTCCGATACTTTAATTAAATGAGTTGGTTAAAGCGTATGACGAGGTCTGCGAATCAGGCCTAGCCTATGAACTTCGACAAAGTTCTGCCGAAAGAAAAACCTAAGTTGTCTAAGTTTTATTGTACAACTTACCAAACGAAGTAGTAATACTGTAAAAAACGATTTTTCGCGCACTCGATGCACCACAGAACTTACTGTGACTTTTACGACGAAGTAGTAGCACGAAAACTCTTCAAATCGAAGACGAAAGGACGAATAATTAGCGAATGCCTCAACAAAAGCCGGGAATACGAATGACCAAAACTTCACAAAACTTCTTCTTACTTCACCTTCGTCTCAGAATCGAGACGAAAGTTAAAACGATTCCTGATTGGTCAACGAGTTACCGAAACAAAAAAACTGGCAGCGAAGGCAGGCGCATGGCAGCTTTAACAGGCTTACAGCCGCGTACCGCTCAAAGGTGACCTCGCTGCTCATCTTCTCTCCCGTAGCCCGGCCTCAGACGCAGTCGAACAGCCAAACAACCAAACTGACACCAACGTCGTCTGCGGTCTTGGAATTGGAGGTTAGGTACGACGTCAGTTTAGTGTCGCGACTAGGCTTACTCAACAGCTTATGTTTAGCTGTTTAATGTTCGTGGTCTAAATCGTTATATTTTTACCCCCCTACCCATTTGACTCGTTACACCCCCTCCACACTTCGGAACGAAAAAAAAGAAAACCGAGAAAAGAAAAAAAAACTGTTGAACTTTCCTGTAGATGACACATCTGTAGGATCGTGGGCAGGAAAAGTTGACAGAAGCCGATGCCGGACCCCGTTGGTCCGGCTGCTCCAGGGTGTTGACGACGAAAAGTGGGCGAAATTAGGAATGATGTAGACTGTCTGAGGCCGAGTTGCCTCAGAGGTCTGGACGAAAACGAATCGGGGCGAAGAGTAACCAAAGGTGAAGAGTAGGCGTGGGGTTTACAAAGGTAGGGTAGTACGGCAGGCTCGGAGTCTTGGAAGCGGGGCGAAGAGCTACTCACGGTGACACGTCACCCCCCAGATGAGGGTTATCTATGGCTGCTTGTTGGCAGCTTGACGTGGCCGAAAGATTGACGAACAACGGATCACCAGACGTCGCTGCGTATGCGGGATCCTTGCATATCAGTCACGTGCACAGAAAGGTTTCAAGTCTTTCACGTGAACGACGTGCACTGCAGCGGTATCCTCATCACGTACCTCGTAGAGATTAGTACCTCGACGACCGACCACAATGCAGGGGCCATGATATTTTGGTGCTAATTTCCCTACGATGGCGTCAGCAGCAGAAGACAGGACGTGGAGTCTTCTCATCACCTGTGCGCCGACTTCGTGCGTCACCTCCCTGCGACGGAGGTTATAATATGTTGATTGCCTTTCGTAGGCGGCCTTGAGGTTATTGCGTGTCTGCGCGATCAGACGCTGAAAGTCCTCCAGTCGTTTGCGATGGGTCTCACTTAACGAGGGACCTTGGGGAGTTTCGGACACCTCAAACGAAAGGCCACGGACGGCACAGGGAGGCTTCAGTTCGCGTCCAAAACACAGCATCGCAGGAGTGAATCCAGTAGAGTCGTGGACAGCTGTGTTGAGGGCGTACTGAAACTCCACCAGGTGGTTGTCCCAAGACCTATGGTTGCCTTTCACGAACTGCGCAATCATAGTCTTCACCACCCGGTTCTGCCTCTCGACTGGGATTGACTGTGGGCTGTAGGGGGCCGTCGTCTGTAGCGTGATGCCCCACTCAGCAGCCAACTCTCGAACCAGTTTACCGACGAACTGCGTGCCGTTGTCCGTAATCAACACATCCGGAGCTCCATGTCGAAGTAGGATAGCCTTCAGCTTCGTCACCACATTCTTTGCGGTTGCAGACGCAATGGAGGCGAGTTCCGTCCATTTGCTGAAGGTATCCTGCACCACGAGCAGAAATCGCTGACCCCGTTGTGATCTAGGCAATGGGCCTACCAGGTCAGCAGACACTGCGTACCACGGTCCTTGGGGTTGTCGGAAGTACATTTTCCCAGCTGGTTTCGTTTGGGGTACTTTATAGGCCTGGCATTGGGCGCAAGACCGTACATAGGCCTTCACCTCACGACGCCAGTTAGGCCAAAAGTACTCCCCACCAACTCGGGCTAACGTCTTCTTCACCCCAAGATGTCCTGCCGTAGCCGTGTCGTGGTTTTCGTGCAGTACCACGGATACTTGGTCGCTTGGCACACACACCCTCCATGTCGTAGGTCGATCCTTCTTCGAGACAGCACGATACAGCTTACCATCGCAAAGCTGGTATCTCGAGTATCGCCCAGGGTGTTTGCTGACCAGGTTGCGAAGGCGGTCATACCAAGCATCGTGGCTGCCCGGCGGGTTACCATCGTTGTCCACGTCGGATGATGGGTCGTCAGTCTCCTGCTGTGTAGGACCAGGAGCTTCGTCGTCGATAACGTCACCCGCCGGATCATCGCCGAGTGAAGGTTCGTCACCTTCAGCATCGGTTAGGCGTCGTAACCGCAACTGTTTCCTAGCACCGCGTCTGGTTAAAACTCCGACCTCAAACGTAGGTTGATCGGGTTCACCAGACGAGCTGGGCACTTCAGGGACCGGCTGACGAGACAGGGCGTCGGCCACTCTGTTCGCTGTCCCCTTGCGGTACCTTATCTCGAAGTCGAATTGCTGCAACTCCATAACCCACCGAGCCAGGCGCCCACTAGGCTCACTGAGCTTAAGCAGCCATTTTAGGGCGACATGGTCGGTTATCGCAATGAAGTGGTAGCCTTCGAGATAAGCCTTGAATTTCCGAACAGCCCACACGAGAGCGAGACACTCCTTCTCGGTAGTTGTGTAGTTCTGTTCGGCCTCAGAGAGTAGCCTACTGGCATACGCAACGACCACTTCTCGGTCGTTTACACTCTGAGTTAACGCTGCTCCCAGGCCATAATTCGAGGCGTCGACCTGGAGCACGAAGGGTTGGCTGAAGTCGGGACAGGCGAGAATCGGGGCCGTCACCAAGGCGTGCTTCAGAGCTTCGAATGCCTTAGTTTGTTCGGGTCCCCAGAGCCACTTGGCGTTCTTCTTCAGCAAACCTCGAAGCGGAATGGTTACTGAAGCGAACTTCTCGACGAATCGCCGATACCACGACGCAAGGCCTAGGAAACTGCGAAGTCCCTTGACGTTCGTGGGTGCGGGGATATCCTGAATGGCGCGGACCTTCTCAGGATCCGTGGCAATTCCATCTTGGCTCACGATGTGTCCCAAATACTTCAGCTCCCTACGGGCGAAGTGACACTTCTCGGGGTTTAAACGAAGGCCCGCCTCGCGTAGGCGGCGAAAAACAACCCCTAGAAGTTCTAGATGTTCCTCGAATGATGTTGACACTACCACAAGGTCATCAAGGTACGCGAAGACCTTCGGCTCCAGCGCAGGCCCGATGACTCTATCCAGAAGGCGCTGGAAGGTGGCACCGGCAGAGTGTAGGCCAAACGGCATGACCTTGAACTGAAAAAGGCCTAGGCCTGGCACAGTGAAGGCGGTCACGGGGCGACTGTCGACGGCCAATGGCACTTGCCAGTAGCCTTGCTTCAGGTCCAAGGTACTAATAAACTTGGCCTGCCGGAGCTTCTCAAGGATGGCGTTAATCCTAGGCAGAGGATAGGCGTCCTTGATCGAGGAGTCGTTCACCCTGCGCATGTCGATGCAAAAGCGGTATTTCCCAG